AATATTATGAAACAGGCCAATTAGACAACAGATGAACAGTGGCATCTGCATTTTATCTTTGAGCAACAGGTACTACGCAAAGCCAGGTGAATTATGGTCAGACAGTCTCGCCCTTTAAAGGTAGAGTTTCAGTTTTAGCAACAAAACATACAATAACACAAATAGAACCAGAATTTCTTTATATTGTTCCTGGTGCTATTAAATTTCTAATTTGAGTTGCTCAACTGAAATTAAATAAATTAAAGTTTAGTGAAGTGCAGTAAAGTGGAACAAAGTCAAGTGCACTGCATTGGTGCAATGCAGTGCTGTACAAGTACAATGCAGAGGGGTGCACTTAAGTGCAATACATTGCAGTAGAGTACAGTGAGGTGAAGTGCAGTGAACTGAATTAAGGTATAATGAAATGAAGTACGACGATGTAGTGAGTGAAAAACACTCCCCAGTCTCCCTGGTGGGTCCATTATTTTAAAGAAATATTACCATGCTGTCCTCGGTTCAAACTCTCGCACTGGTTTTAGCGTTGAATGTAGTTCCAATTTTTCAAAAATACTAAATGTCAGCTGGACTGTCTTCTGAAGCAACAGTGTCTGTCCACAGTCAGGCCTGTGGATAATCCAAAATAACAGGGACAATTTCTGGACACGTTACTGTTCAGTTTTGTTTTTATATTTAATCTTGAAATGTGAGGCAGAAACCTCAGCAGATAACTGAAACTATCTGCATTACTGGATTATATGCTATAATACGACAGTAGAGATAGGCAGAGTGGTGGTTATCACGTCCTGTTGTGTAAAATAGTGACAGCTGGTGACTCTTCAGGGGTCACAGGGATGAAGAAGCATCATTACACAGTCAGCCGCTCTCTGAAGAAAAACAATCCTGATGGCCTGTTTTATCAGAAGCTGATACGCCAATATCTTCATCTCGGATCTGTCCTCATCTCCTCCTTCTCTCCGCTGAGTATCATTTTACTTCTTGTCTATCTGTTACACTCACATCTCCCATCTTGACTCATTTTCTCCCCCCTCATATTGTTTCCTTCATTTAACTGATTCCCAAACCCTGTCCTCTTACTTTCTGTTGTTTCTCTTGTCTCTGGTCAGCTTTGATGTTTCTCTGTTCTTCCATCTTCCTTTAAAAAAAACAGTGGTATATATTTGTAATAAGTTATTGTTTAGTTGTGTGTAACCAAATACGTTTAGTTACATCTTTCTAAAAGCAGAACAGTATAACACCAATTGTGTCAAATTGTCTGTCTGGCATTGACCTCCATATGTGGCTGTGAAGCGCAATGAAGTGAATTGAAGTTAAATGAGGTAACTAACTATTTATTGTTATAGGCACTTACTGTTTCATCTGGGCTCTTGTCCTTCTACAGTACAGCTAAGTACAATGAACTGAAGTGCAGTGAGGTGAAGTAAAGTGGACAAAAAGTGCTATCCAGTCAAATAAAGTCAAGTGCAATGCAGTGAAGTCAATCAAATCAAATCAATTTTATTGTCACGTACACAATCACAGTCAGTACAACATATAGTGAAATTCCTTTTCTTATTATTGGCAATTTCTGTTTCCTCTGTCCTGTCTGATAGCAGCACTGTATTACACCAGTAACGTCATTTAACTCCCTCTGTAGCTATTCGGAGTCTCCTCCGTATAGTCAAAGCCAAATGAATTCGACATTGCAGTAATCATTCATTTTCTCCCAGTGAAACACTGGGCTGCTCGTTATTTTGTGGAGCCTGTTTGCTGGCTGTTGATTAGTTTCTGTGGTTACAGGTAACAAAAGATAAAGGTGGAGCGGTTTTGGTAGTGCTGCCATATCTGCAGCAAGTATTGGTCCTCAAAAAATCATATTACACTATCCTCTTTCTCCTATTCATCTCAATTAAATTTATTTATTTTCAATGTAATTGTGTCATCTTGAGTAGGGACACAGCCATGGAGCTGTCACAGACAGGTGTAATGACCAACATTACATTACAGATCATGAAGCCAGGGCTCCATGATCTGGGCTGCATTCCATTTAGTATTGAGAAGGGGCCAGCTACTGTGCATTCACTTCCTGACATGTAGAACAAGGCACATCGTTAATGTTTTCAGTAAAACCTGTGCTTTCCTGTTCGGACCAGTTGAAATGTCTTGGCTTGTATAAAGACGTTACTTGTAATTACATAATAGTTCTATGTTTATGTCTTCTTTGCTGTCCTTGCTTTTTGTCTGTATTTGGCTTCCTGCAAATTGTTCATGGAACTGTGAACATTGAGAGCAACTTAAACGAGTCAGATTCCTCGTATGCCTACACATTTTATCTCCCTACATGTAAATTAAGAATTGTTACTGTACAGTTAGTTGAGATATTAAATTGTGTAATTTGTCCCACTCAGCGTTGTCATCTGCATCAAATGGAAATGCTTGAGAAAAACCACAACACTGAATGGTGACTGGGAAGAATGTGACTGCTGTTGTATGCTTTGTATATGTGAGTGCGTGTGTGGTAGGGAGAGAGACATTTGATTTGAAGCTTCAGGGTCTTAATCTATATATCTGTTTGACAGCCTTTACAAAGCTTTAAGATCTCTCTCTCTCTCTGTCTCTCTCTCTCTCTGCATGTGTGTATGTGTGGGGTTGTCTCAGGCGTTAAGGGCAGAAGAAGGGTCACTGTTGAAATGCCAGCAGCCATGGCAGCCTTTCTTTCTGTCTGATGTCTTTATGTGTCAACAGAGCGTCTTGCAGTCGGTCTGTTTTGTGTTTAGGTGACAACATTTGAAACAACTGTGTAAAACTGTTTGCCATGATGGGGCAAAGTGTGGATGATGCTGGAATTACTTAATCATCTGTAATGATACCTTAAATGAGAAACTAATCCATTGAATCAGATATTGGAATATTAGCTTTACCCTGTCGAGACAGCCCAGTCTGTCTGGGTATGTCCAATAAGAAGTATTCAGTATCCTACCAATTACATAAATTACATCAGAGGTTGGGTTAAACCAGTACACCAGTGCTCTCTTAACCCTCTCATGCATGAATTATTAAAAACATTATCTAGATTTTTTAAATAATATTTTTATTACTCAAAATTGAGCTAAAATACCAGTTCATTTACATTTTTTCAAAATTCTGTTTTATATTAAAATGATTTCCTATTACTATCCATGTATGTGGACACCATGCAACAAATAGTGAAATGCCACACCTGACAATATGGAATATTATGTTTTTTATGTCTTGTTATGCTATTTATTTAACCTCAATAGTTGCAAATTAACAATAAAACATATATTTTAGGAACAAATTGAGGAAAAACATGTAACTGTAGTTACATGTATGCGGAAACCCAGCAGCATGTTAATATCCTTATCTAACTTCATGTTGAATCATCTCAGTTTTAAAATATAAATATCCAACATGTAACAGATTATATAGCTATAGTTAAAACTGATTTCTTTACAGTATGTGAGTACAATACTTATTCTTATTTAGTGGAAAGGTCACAAAGTAGTCAAAAGTTGCCATTTAATGCTGTAATAAGTACTTACTTACTTTATGTTCATAGATTTGTTAATGTCTGTTTTATAATAATATAATACAATTCATCACATCTCTGAAAAATAAGAATAGATAAACTAGCAGTTTCCAGAAATCCATGACTCCACTGTTGCATGACGTCCACATACGTGGGCAGTTGGTTTTTGGGGTATAAAACTTTAGAATTTTGAATTTATAAAACATAAACCTGTTAATAATACTTTACAGTACATACTACTATTTTTTTTTACCTCGATTGAACTCATTGAATAAAAGCCATAGCCATTACCATCAGCCATCTTGGATTGATGAAGTCATCAAGCCATAAATATTTGGAAAACAAGCGAGTAACCACTGATGACTTGGAGAACACAACCACCATATAGTAACAAAATGGAGTTAAAATAACTGTCCACAAATGTGGACACCATGCATGAATTAACTGAGCTGAAAAACAATCCCTCAGGCCCTAAAGTTTTATAATATAGTCATATAGGCCTACACATGTTTTTATACCATAAATGCTGATATATAGCATATAATTTGCTATATATTATTGCTAAAATTAATTAGAGATCCATCCATCAACCAATTTAGGTTACAAGAAGTTGATGAAATGACACATGCCAGACTGAAATATGTGGCAAATAGCCACGCCCTAAATGGCCACTGCACAACTTAATTAACACGTGACATTCCCATAAACCGCAGTTGTACTTTGTGCTAAACTGTGAAACCCTTTGAGGAAAATTGACGTCCAGTGGCTGAACTTCTCACCTTGCTGCAGTGATGTACAGGTGTCCATCATGCCATCACTATTGGGTGTTGTTAAATGTGTAAGAGATTGAAAGACTGCTTTTCAGATTGGTGTTAAGTTATTCTTAAATGTTTGCTTAGAGCTAAGAAAAGATAACGGTTGGGATTAAAATGACTACTTGTTAAGGTTAAAGAACCTTCATCGTCATAATAAACACTTGGTCATGGTTCCTTCCAAGTGGCTCCGGAGGCTCAGGAGGTAAAGCAGGTTGCCCGTTAATCGGAAGGTTGGCAGTTCAATTCCCTGGCTCCTCCAGGCTGTGTGTCAATGTCTTTGAGCGAGATGCTGAACCCTGAATTGCCCCGGGTGGCTGTTCCACTGTGAATGTTACTTCCTGTTTGAGCACTTAGTGTACGAATGTGAGTGAATTTTCGAGTGGAAAACCAAATGTCATTTCAAATTTTAACACACGATATATTGCACAGTAGCCTATATTTTAACAATATGTAGCATATAGGCTAGCAATGCACAAAATAAGCTATATGGACAAAACCAACTTATCACCTAGAGTTTTTAATATATGAGAAAAACTCTAGGCCTGCTGGATCAAAATGTTTGTCCATATATATATGTGTGTGTGTGTGTGTGTGTGTGTGTGAATACTCCACAGAAATGTTTCATTAGGAAAACTAACAGAGTTTCACATGTTTCTCAAGATCTTAGCTCAGTGTGATACCTCAGCCCTGCAGCCCCCCTAGGCTGTCTGAGCGGTGCCTCTCTCGCTGCGTGTCTCAGCCTCCACCAGGACACAGAGCTCCGCCTCGGATGCTGCTGTTGCTGTTTATCTGATTACCGCGATACGAGAGCTGCGTCTTCTTTATTCATTAGACTACCGGAGACCGGAGGAGAGAGAACGCCGAGGATGCAGATGAAGAGAGGGAGCAGCATCCGCCGGCCGCCACCATCTTCTCCCTGCAGGACATCGCGTGAGCCACCCCATTACACCACCCTGAGGTTATGAAACCGGCTGTAATCTAAGCCTGCATGCCTGCATCAAAACCTCCAAGACCGCCCTCCTCCCCCCTCTGCTCTCGAGTCTGCGATGACACTCGTTCTTCCTGCGTCTTTTCTTCCGCAGACGCGTCTTTTCTTCGGTACCGCCTTGCCTCATATTTAGGTTATGAAATCGGATTCAAAAACGCGGCCTCCCGCTCCTTACTCCCGCTTAACTCATGGACTATGTAGCCTTCATGTCCTCTGTCAATAAATCCGCGGGTTGTGCGTCCTTGTTCGCCTGTCCTTCCTTTTGCATTTCTGCATTCCAGTTCGCCGCCCATGCGTCGCCGCTGCCGCTACCGCGCCAGGACTCTGAAATCTGCGTGAAGCGCGCGTCGTCTTCACGTCTCCGCACTCTCTCTGCCGCTGATGCGGTGCGCCTGGGCGCTCGCCGTCTCTTCGCGCTGGCCGGTCAGTGATCCTCCGGTCCAGGGGCGCTGGGGCCCTCAGAGAGGTAGGATGGTGCGGATCGTCAGCGCGCTGGGGCTGGTCATGTTCAGCGTGGCGCTGCTCATCCTCTCACTCATCAGCTACGTGTCCATCAAAAAGGACTTCCTGCTCAGCACCCCCAGATACGGACCTAATGGAGGATCCAGGATGTCGATGTTTCACGCCGGGTTTCGGTGAGTCCAGGCCTGGAGATAGCGCTGCAGATGGAAATGCTGACTGTTGGTTTGCATCAGATGAGCTGAGTGTTTGGATTTTATTTTTAGCTATGTGGGGTACATGCTGACTGGGTAGAAAACAATTTGAAGGTAGCATACAGTTGGTGCATTATATGCTATGTGCTTGAGAGTCTTGAATCCTCATAAATGATGTTTAGTATTGCTGTTGTATAATTTTCCAGTTGCACATTCATCTCTCAGTTTTTGATGGTCAGTCTGAGCAATCAAATAAAAGGTAGCTCAGGAAGATGTGGCACTGATCAGACTCAGATGAAGGCCTCTCTGCTGTCTGAGGCCTGTCAGCTGCTGCTGTGGTTTCATGCAGTATTTCTCATGCTCTATAGTTTGATTAATCACGGTCCCAATAGATTTTTTGTTTCTCAGACCATACATGTTTAAAATGCAAATTCTCCTCATAGGCCTATACTAGAGGGCCAACAATATGCATCCCTATCCACACACTTTAGGGTAGTTTTAGTCCAGGGCTGTTTATCATGGTTTGAACTGGGCCCCTATTGTTCCAATAAGGGAAAATTGTAATGCAACAGCATACAATGATATTTTAGACAAAAGTGATTTTTGTTGAACTGTACTGTTAGAAAGAAAGCTGATTTTAGATCATTCTGCAAAACCAAAGTTAATGTCCAATGCAGTATTTTTCTTTCAACAATATCTGTACATGGCAACTACCTTACAGTATGGTTAGGGTTAGGGAAAGATCATCGGTACAGTTTTTAAAAAGTGAACATTAACTTGTGGATTGTGACGTGAGGCAAACTCTTGTTTCTTCATGAACGTTGTATGCCCAACTCGCCCTCCCACCTTCCTGACCTCCATGCTGTTACATTGTGCCTTGGCCGCACTCCTTCATTGAACAGTGGCATTAAATCGTGTGCTGTGGGATCGCCCATGATGAGTGCAGTAACCCTATAATGGGCTACTTTGTGGTAAAAGTTTAGGGAAGGGTCTTTCCTGTTTCAACATGACAATGCCTCCACGCACAAAGCCAGCTCCATAAAGAAATGTTTTTCACAGTTTGGAGTGGAAGAACTTGAATGGTCTGCACAGAGCCCTGACCTCGACCCCCTGCAACACCTTTGGGAGGAACTGGGACACTGACTGTGAGAAAAGCCTTATCACAACCAACATCAGTGTTGGACCTCACTAATGGGAGCGAACCCCTGCAGCCAGGTTCTAAAATCTGGTGGAAAGCCTGAAACCTGAAGAGTGGAAGCTGTAGTAGCAGCACATTAATGGTTTTGGGATCATCAGACGGTTTCAATTTTCAGGTGTCCACATAGATTTGCCTGTATGTATATAAGTATATGTATGTGTAAGTATTGTGGTGAACAGCATTTACCTCAACAGCATATTCAGCTGTGAAAAACAAACCACTTTGCTTCATTTGTTCACAGTTTAACAACCAAGAAGAAGCTTTAGAGCGGTGAAATATCACAGAGAGGTGTGAACAAGCCTCTTACTTAAAAAGTAGACATCACAACATATTAGCAGACTTTTATTTTGATAACCATAAATAAGATATGAGATTATGGGACTCTGGTTACAGATGCCCAAACCCTCCGCTCAGTTGAGGTGGACAACATATTTGCGGGTAACTGCACTGACCTCCCTCTGGATGGGGATCTAGGCTGAAACTGACATGGTGTTTTTAGTTTTAGATGTTTTCAGCGCAGCGAAGTACCGGATTCGCTGCTGGTGACCTCACAGTGACGACATGATTCCAGTCCCTGCGGCCAGAAGCTGTTCACCAAGAAACATAACTCCCTCTAAGCCAAAAATGTTTTTACATTCAGATTGTAACGTTTCGTTTTTTGTAGGAATTGAGCAAATGAGACACGGCATGTTCATTAGTGAGCTTTGGATGTGCTGGTAGTTGTATGTTTGAAACTTGGACAGATCCAGTGCGTTCCAGCTGTGTTAATTATACATTTAAACATTTAAAAATATTCCATCATGTCACACAAAACCTGTTTATTTTACTACAACTACTTCTAAAAGTAACTGTTATTTTAAGTTTGTCATGATGGATGTTTTTATAAACTACAATATCCATGAGCCTCAGCCACCATTGCTGTGTAGAAGAATCCAGTCAGATAGACGAGTGAGAGTGGGAGCAATTTCAAAGGGCTTTGTTGTCTCAGTTTAATTTTTAAATGTAATGTAAATTTTTTAAATTTTAAGTGTTTATGTAAAACAAAAACATCCGACAAGAAAATGCAATCAAATAAACAAATCAAGATGATTAAATAAAACAATAAGAAATAAATTAATAATAGTAAATACATTTTTTGAAACTCTTGTCAGTGTTCTTACATATTTGAAAAGTAGTGGGAAGAGGAAATAAAAACTTATTAAATCCCATCCCCTGTACACAAATCAAATGCTTATAAATAATCTTCCCGCGTTCCAAATATTTACATATCTACTTTGTCATACCCAAAAGCAATTCAAAAAGTACACCAATTATTTAAAAAAGGAAAAAAGAAAATAAAACGAAAGACAAAGGGAAATAACAACAACAACAACAATGAAACTGAGAATAAATACTAGCTCCAGTTGATTATTCACCTCCTTCTTCATCCCTGTAACCCATGAAAACTATATCTTTCTACCTGATTTTAAACTGATTTATGTTTGAACATTGCTTTAGTTCCTCATTGAGACTCTTCCATAGCTTTACTCCAGAGATTAAAATGCAAAAACTTTTCCTGGTTGTCCGTGTCCTGTTTGTTTTGAAATGGGATTTCCCCCTTAAATTTGAACCTCCCTCTCTCTTCCTGAATAATATTTGAATATAATAGCTTATTTTTGGAACAAAACATGGCACCATGGTCCCCATTCAAAATGGACCCCGAATTTGAAAGTAAATTCATTTCAGCATCAGTTTGTATGATTGGTTTTCTCGACAGCACAATCTTTAGCTTTCACCAGCTGTATTAAGTACATAGTTTGCTTGTACATTAACTGTGACCCAAGTGTAATATGAAAATTAGAATATAGTGATTTGAAATTCTGCACACAACAGAAAGACTAATCAAAGACACCTTTCATGAGAAAATACATTGAGGAACAGAAGCTAATGGGCCAGAGGTGAGCTAAGTGAGTGGGCGGTGCTTACGCTCTCAATTAGTAGATTATTGTTAATGAGGCTGTGTGTCTGACCACCCACAGAACTAGTTTGAGATGGACAGACCCTGTGTGTGTGTTTACATCTGATTCCAGTCCAAACAGGATGTCTGTTGACACCACGAGAGCTCTTAGTAGGGGAGAGAGGTTTTTGTTGGGCCACCGCAGGAAAATCATTCTGTAAATCTTTGTTGTCCAACATGTTTGGGCAGGTCTGGAGTGGGATTATAAAACAGCATCGTTCTGATGACGGTTCTGGAGGTCAGCAAGCCGTCCTTGGCTCTGATTTACAGCACGAGAGCCGCATTCATTTTGCCCCTGCCTGTAATCATTTTCCTCCTTGCTCGCTGTCACTGCAGGCCAAGGTTACGCTCAGAGTGAGTTAGATGTGAAGGAGAGCAGCATTTTGATGAGAAAACACTAGTGCTAGGCTAGGCTAGTGGACAAAGCTGTATACGTTTCCTGCTGTGTTGTTGTGGACTGAGAGTTTACCATCAGGAACAGGGTGATTCGGGGAAATTTTGGTCTTGCTTTGTATGCGGGCAGCCAGTGGATAAGAGAGTGTTAGTCCATCTGATGGTCTGTCCAGAACTGTTGGCCAGATTACAATGAAAAAGAGTATATTCCAAATGATAAAGGCAACCCCCTGATGCTTCCTCTAGGCCCATCTTGCCCACATTTCCGCTGACTGGACTCTAATGGTCGGATTTACTGAACACATTGAAGCCTTGTTTATGCTTGATAGAGCATCCCTGGATGCGTTTGCTCCGCAAGCTGTTGTAACCAATGGTCGAGCACCTCCTATTCTTGTTACTAGGCACTCATCACACATGCAATGCTTTCAGTCAAGATGTCATGCAGTGAAGAATTTTATTTTTTCTATGGTGTGAAGTTATTCAGCAGTAAAGATTACTTCTACCTGGTTAGTTATACTGTATGTATTTTACTGTTTGGGGCAGAGAAGAACTTCCCAAAAGTTTTATACATGAAATTGTACTGTAGTTTTGTGTAGGGCTTCATTGCACCCTTTATTGATTGTGACACTAGCTATAAACAGTAGTCAGAGGATCTCAAAAGTCATTAGGATTCTTTCTCTGGGAGCCATGCATGTCTGTACTAAATTTTGTGCCAATCCATCTGGCTGATATCGAGATATTTCACAGGATAAGCGACCGACAACCTACCATTCCAAACGTTGTGGAAGAATTTTTAATACATTCAAACTTTACCATTGAAATTAATTTGTGGTTTACATCAAACTTCTAGTGGCCAAGTAAAAAAACAAAATGTCTTATACTGTTACTGTTTGTCTTTTTATTATGTTGCCACAGCAAGTGGCAAAAAGTGCCATACAACTCAGTGATCACTATTAGAGCTGTATTACATCACAAGAGTTTTAATTGTTATACTAATATGATAAAAAATGCACTTCACCTCTTTAAGCCAGGTCTTTATAGTCTGCTGTAGGTATTCCTGTCTGTCAGTTAAATGTCATTTTAAAGTCACTGGTGATGATTAAGATAAGAGTGAGATTATTCTTTTCTCTTCTATTCTGTTTTTGTTTTACATTCCTCCTGCAGTGAGAGGCCACCTCGCAAACCTGACCTGAGGTGAATACAGAGTGCTGACATTTTATTTAAAAACCACAAGGAAGTACTCTGTTTTTCCTTTTCTTTTATTTTAAGATCTATCTATCTATCTATCTATCTATCTATGTATCTATCTATCTATCTATCTATCTATCTATCTATCTATCAATCTATCTATCTATCTATCAATCTATCTATCTGTGGTCTGACACTGAGCAAGAAAAAAACAAACAGCTAACTACTTTCTGTTGATCATTTGAAAAGTTTTTGTTTCACATTTGTAGCAGCGGAATCTTTGCTCTTTCTTGTAAAACCATAAGCATCTTCTGCTTCAGCTTTTTTTGGCCGCACAGAAACCTGCAGCCATCTAAGTATTTGTGTCAATAACAAGACAAAGCAACGACGAGTCTTTGAGCCTGAATTTTCTCTGAAGCCTTTTGGACGGTGCGGTGTTAGATTTGAAACAGCATGAAATGAGAGTTTTTTTCCACACTTCTATCAAATCCCATTGTGTGGAATTTAGCCAGTATTTGTCAGTATTTGACAACAGAATAGTGTGGCACATTATCTAATTATTCCAGCGAAAGAAACTTATAGACAGAGGTTTTGAGTTATTTCAGTTTATTTTCAGTGTTCCTTGACACTGAAAATAATCATCTAAATATTTGGGGATCAGTCATAAAGTAGTATGCAGCCCAAAAAAATATCATTTTTAGTGATTATCTAATCTTATACAGAATAACTTGCAAATATAAAGACTGAAAAAGTGAAATCCTTTCCCAACTGCAATTTGTGCATCTTTAGTATTTCTACAGTATTTGTCTGGGCAAATTCCACACAGTAGCTATTTCATGCTGATCCTGATTCAGCACTGCACCTCTCTGGCTGAGCCTCACTACAAAGATGGCGGACGCTGCAACAACAAAATAAAGCTGCTGGAGGTCTGACTGCCATCAGATCCAGGTCAAACAGTATTTACACCTACTTTTTAGGTTTGCGTGAGACTGGCAGAGAATCATGGAGCACTGCCGTGCAGGGCAGTAAGTTAGATGATGTCTGAATGATTACATGGGCTTTTGGTGGTGGATTTCATCAAAATCTCAGTGATCAAACATCTGACACTGTCTGAACTGTCCTGATGCAGTAAATTCTAACGACCTTGTACTTCATGCAAGATGAACCAAACTTAAAATTGCAAATACTATTTGACCAGTTGTTTCTGCCATAGCAGAGTCTTGACCTGAAACCTTGACATTTTGATGTTTCGACAAAGGCAGATAATTAGAGTTAAAGAGGCAAGTTCTCTGATTGAATCAACTTTCCAACATTGTGAAAAAACCTCTTTGTCTTTCTTAGAGTCAGTCAAGTCCAGTACAAAGAAAAGTCCACGATGCCTGTTCTGAAGTGGCTTAGATGGAAGTCATTCTACCAGGGGACAGCACCATGGAGAAGAAAAACTAAAATAGGCCTACGTTAAAAATGTCAAGGTTTCCATGCAAAAAAAAAACAGGCTAGGCATATAGAAAAGCTTACTGTAAATTAGCACCTGGTTATTCGTCTGGTTAAGTCTTGGATTTATGTTATAAACACTTGTCGAACTGCAAGAGTTGAGGCTTCTTGCACTGCAACAAAAGTGTTCATCTTATCAAGTACTTGACCTCATGTTCAGTCTTAAAATGAGATCACATTTACCAACCAACTACCAATGAGGTGACATCAGTGGATTTGTCATGCTGTTTAAATGTTTTGAAATGCAGTGAACATGGCATCATTTCAAAATGTGGACAGTAAGTTTTTTTTAAACCATCTTGAAAGTGAAAGAAGTACATGGAACCAAATCTGGTTGAAGGGTAAATATTTCACTCCACATATGAAGTCAAATTAACTATGAATAACTTGCTAAGATGGACATAATTTCTGCAACAGTATGACCTTACTGCTTATTTCCCCACAGTACACTGGGTTGATTTTATTGTAGATACGAGAGTTGAAAAGAGGCTGAATCTGTGTTTATAATGAGTATAACTGTCAAACCAACAATGCAGTAGTATATATATATATATATATATGTATATATATATATATATGTATATACTACACACATATATACATGTATATATATGCCGAATGGCTCCTTTCAATCAACTTCTTTTGGAGGCATTTTAGCTTTAAGATGTTGGTAATGATGTAAAAATATTAAAATATAATATTGAAATTGGTACTGAAATATTAAACAAATCTTTATTTTTATTGGGTTTTATTTTTGTAGTTTAGGACAGCATTTCTACTATTGCATCAAAAAACACAAGCAGTCATTTGATGAACAGTTTTGAGGTATGTCCACACCAAGTTTACATATATGTGCAAGATATTTACAAATCAAATACAAAAAAAAAGACGTTGGTAAATCCTTGTGTTTCTGTTGCTTCTTACATACCAAAGAAACATTTTTAACATTCTCATCTGTGGTTGATTGGATGAACTCAATACTTTCTTTTTCTTTTGTTCAGAAACATGAAAAACCGAAATATTATCATTGCTGCTGCCCAGAAGAAAACTAAATAGAACATGAAAAAGTGTACCATTTGACCTCAGATTAGTTTTCCTTAACAATTTCAGCATTTTTGCATTGTAATTTCAGTTTGGACCTGGTGTGTAACAGCTTCTACCTCCAAAAAAAGTGATTTCAATAAAGTGACTCAGGTGTTTGCTTGTTTACCACCTGTCTGATCGCCTGACTGCTTGTATTTCTTGGCCTGTCTGACAAATGATCCTTCAATGGTTTTCAATGCAGGTAAATATTTTGCATTACCTACACACCCTGTTTTAAAACAGTTAAAATGCTGCTCAAAACATTTTGAAGTGCTAGTGGATGAAGCTGACCTCCTCCTAACACAGGAAGACTGGGTTAACATACATGACATACATCTCCTCCCTCTCGCTGTGTAGCTCCCAGCTGGCAATGAAGTATCTGGATCCAGCTTTCACTCCTCTGACCAACGCTCTCAGTGAGGACCTGCAGAACTCTTCTAAATGGAGCTACAACAGCACTGCTTTTATACAGCTGAAGTAGGTTTCACACACACACACATACACACACACAGCTGATTATGTCACATCACTTTTAGTTGTAGACTTTCCAAGTTAAACTTTCATGCATATTGTAAATACAAATCTCAAATAAATCTTTGAGATATGTTTATTTATTCATTTAGTTACTCATACATGTTAAACAGAAAAGTGGGAAATAAATCCACTGGTGTTGTCTCCCCAATGTTCTTGAGCTCTTCTCCGGTGAAAGAGCTCCAGGTTTCACAGCAGAAAACTGGTTTCCAGAGGTAATCACCATTATAGTCAATGCTTCTGAGTCCACCAGACGCGGCCGCTGTGCGAACCAGGCAGGAAGTCAGACACAGAACGGTATAGAGAATCCGGTTGTTTTTCTAAATAAAACACACTGTGGGAACAATAAACACTGTTAAAACAGACACAAAAGAAATCATTTTACCATGTAGCCTACTTAATCACAGTAGAAGCACAAAATGCAAACACTGATTACCAAATCAAAATCTAAACATGTCAGCAAAATCAGGCAGGCAAAATGCTCTGATTCTGAAATGCTCCTTGTGGAAAATGCAGCCAGAAGTTGACGGAATGAAGTGGGGTCACATAGAGCTGTGAAGGTAGTAGAAGCACAAAAAGGCCAAATTAATAACAAGTAAATTATGTGGGGCAGGCTGCGCGCTCCGCTGCTGAAACGCTTCTGAGACATTTCCAGTGGACTTTGACGCCGGGCTATGGACGAATCAAAACTGTGGTGCAGCTCTAACGTGCCGTAGCTATAGTCAGTGGATTCCTGGCATAAGTATATAAGATTTCGTAGCATCTAGCGGTCTGGTTGTGAATTGCAACCCCCCCTCCCCCCTTTCACAGAGTGGCTGACCCAGGACAAAAAGTGTCGTCTTCTGACACAGCAGAGAGTAGCCTGGAATGAAATGAGGTTTCTTTAGGTACATTATGAAATTATATTTACTTTATTCAGTAAAACCATATGTCATTGCAATTTGGCAACTGTGATACATTGTCACTGTTTCTGTATCACAGTCTATTATAAACCACATGATAAATGAAGTTTATACAAACACTGATAAGAGAAAAACATTACTTCTCTCTGTGATTATGGACCCTCGCCAAAACTGCCCACCAGCAATAATATCTGGCCCGTGGCCAGATTATGGTGCTTTGACAGCGGCAAAAAATATATACTTTGCCTACAAAATTAAAGCATGAGAACATTTTTTACCTCAATGCCTTATTTCGCGTTGAATTGAGAGCTTTTACTTTGAATCATTACAAAGAGTCTGTAGCCTGCTTGACACACCTCTGAAAGAGCCTTCAGAAAACATGATTATCCTAAATGTCCACTGCCTGAAGATACTGGGGAAATGAAAATAAGCGTCCGTAGGTTAATGGATGTGGATCAAACACAGGAACACACACACTGCAGCTCGTTCTTTATTGTGAGCATGTGAAAGAGTTGTTTCATAATCAATTTGTTGAAGAGGTGAAAAAAAACTGTGCTAAACAAACACTGTAACATTTAGGTCAAATATGTTCTATATTCCCACCAGCTAACGGGAAAAATTAATTGCTCCGATGCAGAACTTATCTGCCAACCGCTTCTGTATATTATTACTTCTTCTTTATTGAACATACGTATTCAACGTAGTGATGAGCATATACACTGCCAGACCCACAGAAATATTGGATCTTAAAGTATGCAAATTTTAAATAGTCCTATGTTTCAATGTAGGTTTCCTCAAAAAAATTCTCAAATTTTTCAATGACTTCCCTTCATGTTTAGAACTGCAGGTGTTATTGTGTTTGTATTGGGTTGGAAGGTTCATGGTGTTTTGATTACACACTGTGTAGGTATTGCACCTGTGGATTGGCCTCCGCTGAAGCATGTATGGTTGCTATGAAAGAAATTTAAATTGTTCCATTTATGTAAACAGATATTATTTAGCCAGACTTGTAGACAATAAGGAGGTGGTGATGAAAAAATAAACTTTTTGTCTTGCAGAAAGGAGATCTCTCAATACATCGACATCCCCCACAACTTCACACTGACACGAGGCTCAGTCAGAATAGGACAGCTGATGCACTACGACTACTCCAGCCACAAGTATGTTTTTTCAATTGGCGAGAACTTCCGCTCACTCCTCCCTGAGGCATCCCCAATCCTCAACAAGCACTACAATGTCTGTGCCGTGGTCGGCAACAGTGGCATCCTCACCGGCTCGCGCTGTGGCGCCCAGATTGAGAAGTTTGACTTTGTCTTCCGCTGCAACTTTGCACCGACCGAGATCTTTAAGAAGGATGTTGGGCGGCGGACCAACATGACAACCTTTAACCCCAGTATCCTGGAGAAATACTACAACAATTTACTGACTGTGCAGGACAGGAACAACTTCTTCCTGAGCCTGAAAAAGCTTGACGGCGCCATCCTGTGGATCCCAGCATTTTTCTTCCACACGTCAGCAACAGTGACGAGGACACTGGTGGACTTCTTCGTGGAACATCAAGGTCAGCTGAAGGTCCAGTTGGCATGGCCCGGAAACATCATGCAGTATATCAACAAGTAAGACACACAGTATCACTGTAGTACATAACAACAAAGACCCCTGGCCTGTACTACGAAGGGAGTTCAACCTGCTCAGAGTTAACTCGGGGTTATCAGGTAAACTTAGGTTTGACAAACTCTGACCGCTACACTGGAGTTAAACGGTGGATAAGATGTTGGTTAGTTGAGTCCGTGTTAACCCCGTGTTAACTTAATTGGAGTTGGTGCATGTTCGCTTAAAAGGGGCGTGTTCGGCTGTGCAGGCAGAGTTTTTTCGCAATGGCGCATGCTCTGTATTTCTCCAGAGGAATGCACGTTGGTAGTGTCGGGAAATTATGAATATAAAGACATGTTAACGACTAAATCTAATATCTGGCGGACGACAAAGCCAGGGAGGCTTGTTGGCATCGCATTGAGTAAATTTGTAGCCTAATTATCTTCACAGTGTTCTTATTGTAGTTTAAATCTCTATTATGTATTTTATGGGCTCTTCTTTTATGTGTAATATGATTAAGATGTAAAGGTACAACTGCACATAAGGGCCATTGTAAAAGGAGCCAGCGGAGAGGGGGAATAATCTGAGACAGAATTTAATTTCCAAGATTCATCTACAAGTAAAAAAACTTGAATATTCTCTGACATTATAATCACACATTTATGAGAGAAACTTCACTTTGCAAGGCTGCAACATCACACACACGTCTGCTGTGTAGCCTATTATGCATGCACTGGAAAGTTATATTAAACTTTGCAATTGGATTTAGCAGTGAGGAAATACTCCTGAGTTTAGCCCCCAATCACTATCATGCACCGAAGAGACTTCGCCTTGGATCGGGTATATTCAGAAGAAAACACCAGAGTGATTTTCGATTTTTTGTGACATTAATTTCAGGGAATTTCTGATTTGTCTTCTTGTAAATTTCACTTTCACCTAGGATTTTTTTTTTTTTTCTCAGTTATTAACCCCGACCCAGGCTCCCTATTTTTTGGACACGTAAAATAGTCAATCTAAATATGTGAAAACACTTAGGAGAATTCAATTATACAGATGGGCTAAATCTAAGAAATGATCCCGTTAATTAGCCTAATTAAGACTTCCTCTCTAAAATCACCAAGAACTTCATTGCAACCTCAGTGGAACAAATCAGGATGAAATCTAAACATATTTTATGAAGTGGTGTGTAATGATATCCAACTTCTCATCATTAACACTGAGTACAGATGCGGTGTGTAGTCCACGTGCACGGTAACCTCGAGTTAACCACGAACAAAACCTGCTCGGAGCCGTTTAGAGATGCAGCATAAATTGCACATGGCAACATAAATTGCCATGTGCAATTTATGCTCGGGTAACACCTATCCACCTTTCGTAGTACGGGTTAACTGGGAAGTTACACCCGACGTCACGAAGTTACTCCTGAAGTTACCCGGATAAGCCAGTTACCCCGCTTTGTAGTACGGGCCACCGATCTCCACCTGCTATTCTCCTGGGATCTGTATCTGGATATGCAATGTTATCTGAATAATGACATCTTAACACGGGCCTTTTGTACGTGGTTTTAATAAACAACCTAATTATCTTCATTCTGCCCGCAGTGTTATCAGATCAGAATATGCAAAGTAGGTAGGCGGAGCTAGAATATTTTGTCAACTAACATGGTGTGTTCCGAGTCCAGGGAAGCAACGTTGCTGTATGGGGTCCTTTTGCTTGTAAAAAATGTTTGTGTAGGTTTTTGGCTGGGCTTCCTTGAGATGGCAGAGTAAAGCTTGATTTATACTCCTGTGTAGGGTCAGGCATTTATACTTGTGCGTAGGTGTCTCCGTCATTCTGCAATTACACCCCCAAACGCTAGTCGGCGGCAGCGCTACAGCGTCCACTGTGTTGACTTTTGCCGGCCGAGCAGGCTAACTCCCGGTTTAGCCCGCCGCTAACGTGAATGGCGGTAAAATTGTAAACGTGCGGCAGTTATAGCCTTATCAAAGGTTATCGATCAAATGGATCACATCCTGATAGTGAAACGAGTCATTTCGCTTGGGGTTGTGACGGTCAAATATATTGATCCACCGCGTTACAGCTGCCGGGGGGGGGGGCCTACGCAGAGGCTACGCTGCCAATTTCACGCAGAAGTATAAATTGCACTTTAGGTGACCTTTCAACTCCAGATGCGGTCTGGCTGATCCAATTGCATTTCAACTGCAGTGCCTTTTAAATGTATTTACACCAGGATTAAGATCCAGAAAACATATCCAGATACAGATTGCATTTTTTAAACTGTCAACAAATTCCATGAAAAGCTCAAAACCAACAATGCATTAGTCTGTTTCTCAATGCTTTACAGCTCAGTTTTTGACATGTATGGGCCTCTATGGCATAGAGGTATACGCCGTATCCATTCATTGTTGGGTTTTGGGCTTTTGAGGAGATTTGTTGATGTTAAAAAAGAATATAGATTTTAAAGCCCAACCCCGTTTCTCTATAAAATTACCAGTAATACCCTTTGGAGGGAAGTTAATTGCTGTTTGGATTATGTTCATTGGCAACAGTTCTCACACTGCCCATCTCTCTCTCTTTCTCTATCTTCATGTCTGTCTGTGTTTAAAATGTCCCAGTGTTATCTTTGTCCTGTTTGTGGAAACTAATGTGTCGTTATATTGTTCTGAGCTGTGCTCTATATGGCAAAGAGGAGATTTAGGCCCCAAAGCTGGATTATAAGGAAACAGCTATTTAGTGAAAGGTATGGCACAGAGTGGTGTGTGTGTGGAGAGGGATTTAAGTCGGGTGCTTAGTGTTGTAGAAGCAGAATAGGCTGCTTGTACAGTAGCTTAATCTTCACCAATCCCATTAAAACTTCTTGCTCTAGAAGAATTAACACATTTAAGCAGCTCAGACGGCTTTCAGCACCTCAAGGACTCCTGGAAATGCTTTTGTTGAGGCCAGTTTGGAGAGTTACCCTTCTGTGACAATGCAGAGCAAGACTCCCTAATGAAAGCATCAGCAGTGACTAGATTGTTTTTATTTTTTATTTAACCATCTGAAGCCATTGCTTTCAATAACAGTTTATTCTGAATTTTGTGAGTCTTGCTGAAATAAGTAGGCACAACTGTTATTTTTTTGCTTTGTTTTACTGAAATTCTGATTTATGCCTCCATTCATATGTCACCCAAACAAATAAATACTTAATATATATTAATCTAATTCATGCATTTATCAGAACGTGGACTTACCTGTACTTTAATACCTCACATGGTAAATTTGGCAATATGTAGATTTCCAGTGCACTAATTCCATCAGTGCCAATGCAGAGTCATTTCATACTCTCGTCTCTGCTACAATATCTCTAACAGAAAAACTGTTAGTTCACTAATTGTGATTGCTGACATTTTTTGATTGCAGTTAAGGTATCAGTGAAACTGAACACCTCCTGCAGGTGACACCTTAAGGTGATACCTTAAATGCCTACCAGGAAATGGAGAGATTATTCTCTTTGAGCTGCAGGAAGGCTTTTATTGTTAAATATCAAGACAGGAAGTACTCAGTTTCACTGCCGGTAGCTTACTGATTATGACAATTTTATCATATTTATTTTTAGTGTCTGCTTCTTTCTGAGATCGCTTTTTCCAACTAATTTGACAATATTTCTCCGGGGAGTGCAGTAATAGACAGTGGCAGCGCCGACAGTTTGTCGGACTTAGCAACAGTATCTAAGGGGGGGGGGGGGCGGGGCTTAGCGAAGGGTCCATTAGAGCATGAAGACAGCGTTTCTGTAGAGAAACTTAGAGTAGCAGAGTGGTGGGTGTGACATCACTCTGTTGTACTGTTATAGTGCTGTAATGTACACTATACTGAATGTACTGTCCTGAAGATGACACGTAAACATGGAGGAAATGTTGACTTTGCATTAACAGAAAACATCAACAACAAATGAAAACATATCAGAACAGAGAACGCTAATCCTAATCCCATCTACAATATTATATTTACGAATAAAACTAAATAAAATATATATATAATAAAAATAAAGGTCTGGATCGAATATAAGTTTTAAATGGAGAACTGGTTCTCCCAGGAAATAAAGGCCAATAAATAAATTGCCTTTTTTTTTATCACCAAAAAATCATGAAACAAAACATTAATTTGAGTAATTTAAATCCTGAACCATTAATGTAAGAGATAACTGAGCAGCAGAGTCAACATTTAAGGGTTTCACTTTGATCTATTCAAGATTGAATTCCCTTACTTACACTGCATGCAATTTGAAACCTGTAAGCTTCTTTTAATGTATAATTGTTCTACTAACTTGTACTCAACAGCTACTGGAAAACCAAGCAGCTGTCGCCGAAGCGCCTGAGCACTGGCATACTGATGTACACGCTGGCATCCTCCATGTGCAACCAGATACACCTGTACGGCTTCTGGCCCTTCGGCTGGGACCCCAACACGGGTAAGGAGCTGCCGTACCACTACTACGACAAGAAGGGCACCAAGTTCACCACTAAATGGCAGGAGTCCCATCAGCTGCCCGCTGAGTTCAAACTCCTCTACAAGATGCATAAAGAGGGACTCCTGAAGCTCACCCTCTCCCACTGCGCTTAGACCTAAAACTGCAGCAGGTACAGCGCTTCTCCACAGAAGAATTCATGCTGTTTTGGCAAAAGCAAAATCTTGGATCTAAGACTGCATTGGTGAAATGGATTCTTAAACTGTTTTTATCTAAGATCCCTGGGTAAAAACCCCAAATCCTGTCTATTCATTTTCTAAGGCTCAAGAATCTAAAGGAGAAGAGGACTGCAACTAGTTTTTTGGAATAGGTGGCTGCAGCTGGACTTTTAGGCTACGATGCTCTTCAGCAGCATCACAACCATGAATTGCTTTCACTCATCACTCCTGGCACTACAGCGCAAAAATATGCAGATTAACTGTTGTTAAACTATGGCTGTGATCAGACCCACATAAGCACCGTTAAATAGGGCAGATGCCTTGTTCATTTCTACTAGACCACTGTGTTGACACAATTTGGGTCCCGACGCCGGGGGCCATGGCAAAAAAAGTTGAACCTGGCTAGATATTTGCTTCAATTCAAGACAAACGTCATCCTGCAACACACTGTGTAGGCCAATCAAAAATGTGCAAGCGCATGTTGCTCGTGGATGGATTAGTTACTGACAGTGAATATCCTGGTTCATATTTCATCGTCTTTCTAGTATCTGAAGCAAAACGCTACCACCAACACAGGACCTTGAGTTTTTTTTAACCCAGTGCTGCTTGTGGTCTAACCACCCTGTAAGACAGCAATGTGGTTGGTTTCTAATGCTGTGATCAGACTAAATGTTTCATCCTGACCAATCATAGCTTGCTGTGTTTAACAACTTGCATGATGTACATAGGTGATTGGTTTAGGGGGTCCAGGGACCAACTTCACTGTTCCACCTGATGGCATCATGCGACATCATTCCTCTTCTGTCATGATGTTTTTAGGTGTCCCCAACCCGTTCTCAGCCCAGGGCAACAAGTGTGGACGGATGATCGAGACCCCTTGGTGTTGCTTTTTAACACCGTGGGTACCCTTTAGTTAATATTTTGCATGTGAAGGGCTCCACGGTCAAGTTATCCAGAATAAATACGTAACGTCTGGTTATTCTTTGAAAATAAAACTAGTGGTTGATGTTGTGAAACGCCACAACTTGGTAAAGATAAGGCACCAAAACTACTTGTTTTGGTAAAGATCATGGTTTGGGTTAAAACAACAAAATGACTTAACTTACATGACACATACGTTAGAAGAGGTCATATTCTGCTTTTTGGCTTTTTCCCTCTGCTTTATTGAGTTATATCTCTTTTTTGTGCATGTAACAGGTTTGCAAAGTGAAAAAGCCCAAAGTCCAGCCCAAAGGGAGTTCCCATCTCCCACAGAAAACTCTGCTCAGAACTGCCTGAAAACAGCTCGTTTGTTGTCCAGCCGTTACTTCCCCTTTCTTGTGACGTCACAAGAAAATGCGCGGCTTGTCAGACACGCCCTCAAAAACACTGATGGACAAACACTCTGAGCTGCAGCACACAGCTCTCTACTCACTTCCAAACACTAGCTACCCTCCAGGCAGTCAGTGGACATAAAGTTGTTCCTGTGATGTAGAGACAGAGCTCAGTTAAAACTTTATGGATGAAAGATACTTTTGTTACAGATTAATAACTCACCACTCTGAAACTCTTGCTCCAGTCCATGTTGCTAAGCTGGTAAGGGGATATACAGCTGAACCAGCTTTTCAGGACCCGCCCTACTCTGCTTCTGATTGGCTAGTAGTCCTTAACTAGGTACTGCGCATGCGCAACTCCCAACAAAGATCTTTAGAAGTAAGATGCCTCACTCTGCAGCTAAAATGGAGTGTTCAACACACAGGGTGAAAAGAGGAGCTTCAGCAATGTGCAGTATGACAAAAAATATGGTGTTTTTTGAAAATCAAACCATGTAAACCTGTTCTAGTGCAACCACTAAACAAAATGATGAACCTGCAAATGAGCATAATATGACCACTTTAACTAAAAATAATCATTGTTGACTTTTTGTTTCACATGGGAAATGCACACCAGTCTCTCAGTTTATTGAACCATGATGCCAAAGGGCTTCCCGTTGCGCGTTAAACTATGACGCTAAAGTCATGTGCGTTGGTACCAGATGCCAAAGGATGTGACAAAGCCCAGGTATTTGATGACCTGGGAATGAGAATGGGCTGGTGCTTCACCCCATGTCTGTTGGGTAGGGTCATTAATGGGCTGATTTCGTGTAGTCTGACCCTAGCATTAGACATACTGATCTGTAAGTCTGAAAAGGAAGAGCAGTGATAGTGGCCTGCTTAAGAAAACAGGACATAATTCTCTGTTGCTACTGTTGACACTGATACACTTTAATCTTATACAATAACCTAGAATGAGTGCAAAATTAAGATAAACTAATCATAGATTAGTCATGTGCATAGTAATTTAGTCACAGGTTTATTAAAAAAATTCGATTTCAGATTTCAGTACATTTATTCTTAAATCTGCAACTCCTGAAGCTTTGGCACCTTGGATACAGCAGAACAAGTTGAAACGCACCATTGACATATTATTGCCTTATAAAATTATTACAGCAAAAGTGTAAACCAGCTACCTAATTGCACATCCAGCAGACACAGAGCAACATTATCTTAATAGGATTTGTGACCTCCTTTTAGCTCTGGTTTGGTCCAACCAACTCCTTAGAAAAGTATTTGGTTCGTTAAGCTGCTGCTTGCTTTTTTCACCAGCAAGTCGCAAACTTTTTCTTTTTGCCATTTGGTGGTAGGTGGGCAGGTAGTGTACAGTGGCTTTATTAGAGCTTTTTTGCTGGATACAAGGGTGATACAGTACAATACTCTACCACAGCAACAACAAACTCAGTCATAATCTGTAAGGACATAAGAGTAAGCTTGTGAGTCCACAAGACATCTTTAACAGCTGGAGAAGCACAGACAGGGATAGACCATAGCTATAACTAAATTGTGGATAAAGGTATGGAGAGACAATAAGACAGCATCGGCACTGCAAATGAATGGGACAATGTCAATTCTACGATGTATTATTATTAGGCTGTGTGGGTTGTTTTCAAATATATTTGAACAAATTACATGCTAGTTCTAGTTTTTTTAAGTGACAGACCTCCTTTGTAAAGATGACTAACTAACTAACTGCATCAGCTACTGTAGCTGGTTGTTTAGCCAGCACTATGCAACTTATCAGGAAGATTCATTTTGAGCCAGTATGCTGCCATTTATTTCATCTATGTTGTGGTAATTTCTTTATTTTTTCCCCTCCATTTTTGTGTGTTTTTCAAAAATATCAGGGTTTGAAAATCAGCGATATCTGTTAGAATGTAGCCTGTAGTCCCACAGTCTCATGAAACTCCATTTTAGCCCTTTGGCTCCATTCACACACAGTTTTATTTATTTATTTATTTACATTTGCTTCTGCTCGAGCGCAAGGGAATATAGGGATCTTACCTTAAGACTAAGTAAGCACAACAGTTTACAAACAAATTACAATCCTGATTGTTTTGGATATTTTGATCAATATTTTTGGTTGGTGATTTGAAAGAAATAATTATTTTTTGACATGTTTCATTTTAGCGCTTACATTTAATAAAACGTATTTGGGTAAAAGAGAAAAATCATATCAATACAATATCAATATTAGGTGTTTTAAAATTGTTATATTGTAAATTCTTAAATCCTTGTTCTAAATGATTACATAATCAACTACAAGGGCCAAGGATAAAGAGTGCAGGTTGTTGCTGCTGGATTATGAATCTACAAGGAGATAGTGACGGAAGGCAAACTCTGGTCCTCCTGTATAAATGTTAGATACGCCATTTTCCATCCATCACCCTGACCTCCACACCCATACTTTCCACCTAAGGGCACACTACATCTTGCATTAGTTCCAAACGTTGGCATTGGCTGTGAACTCTGCTTTCGTTCAATACGAACACAATTCCTGGGGATCCTGGGCTGGAATTTCAGTTCTTGAAGAAAGAAAATAACTACTGTATCTATAAGAAAATGCATTAGCTGTTTTGTTTGTTAAGAAAGTGGTTGAGCCACAAGTACCAGCAAAAAAAAATCTTGAACTTGAGTTCTAATTCTGACTTTTTAGGACTTGAAGTGTTTTTAATGTGCCCAGCATAAGACGGTGTGAGACAAGAGGGCCGCAGCAGATTAAAACAAAAAGGCATTATATTCTCACAGACACAAATCACAGTTTTTACATATCACACAAAACATACAATTATTTTGACTAAAGTAAGGTTATGGTTAATGGCAAAATACACCCCAGCTGTTGTAATTTCTTTGGCCCACTTGGCATCCCATAGGCTATGTGTGCATTAGTATACTCAGGGTTTTGTGAATGGTACAGTTGTACAAACTGAATTTATGGTTGTTTTTTTTGGTTGTGTTTTTTTGAGTGTTTGTGTTTTGTGGAATGTTAATGTTTTTCTAGTCCATCAAGTGTGTGTTTTTACATGGGAACTGATACATATTTCTGTTGCTACATAATTTCCATCATATCATGTATCCAGATTGTTTCACACGTTGTAATCTGGAATTTGCATCTAGACATTCTCCACAAAGAAACATAAATATACAATATAAAATGTACAGAGACAAGGGTTCTGATGGTTAAAGAGACACAACAAGACTATTATAACTTTGGTTATTATTATGAGAGGGGTCAAACCTGTGATTAACCAGTTACAGAAGTCTGTCAAACCCCCACGCCACCTACACCTTACATGAAAGAAAATGTGAATTTCTTACCTGTGAAACATCGTTTCACATGTGATAAGTTCACTCATAGACATGTGGTTTTCAGGTGTATCAATTGTGAATTATATTTTTTGCAAGGGAGTCACTCTTCTTTTTTCATGTATTTTCATATTTGCTGCCATGTCTTTATGAGAAAACATGGAAAACTATTTTGTAGCTGAATTTCAGCTAAGCTTTGCCTTGTTTGTTTGTTTGTCTCCTACAGTTTCTATGACTTGAAACATTTTCAGGACTTTGACAAAAAGATTGTTGGCATGAAAATTAAACTCACTACTTCAAATTAGTAGAAAATGATGTTACTTTTTGACTTGAGCACATTACAAACTCGCTTAAGTCAAGAGGATGTAACTGTATTTTATGGAACATTTTATTTTTGTTATATAAAACATCATAAAATACAAGTTTCATGTAACATTTTTCCAGAATGTATTTTTTGGCACTTTGAATGAAAGATATTAACGAGGCTGGCTCCATTCAAAACGATATGTCTTTAAAGAACACTCTGTTTAGAGTTATATATTCTAAAGCCACATTTAGATATCATACACATTATGCTGTAGATTTACAAATATGTTTTATTCATACACTTGAAAGAAACTATATCTACTCTGTATTTGTTTAATCATTTAGTCATTAAAATGAATGAAATTATGAATTTGACAAAGTGAATCCTGTCTTGTTTTGAGTGAGTGTTTGCTGATCATTTCTGAAATCTGTTATCTGTTGTTTATAATAATACTTTATGTACTTTGAAGTTTGAGGTTTGTTCTGTTTTTTAGACTTATCTACATTCTTGTCAAGGTTCACAATTTATCATGTCTTGCCCCACAGAAAAAGCCGTAATGTGATTAAGTTGCTACTAGTTTTTAGGGTTGCTATGTTTGTCAAGGTGGTGCCATTTTTGAAATCAATGGTTGTTTTGATGTGAGTCAGTCCATCCATCTGTCCTTCCAACACGTATCTATTGACCAAAGTCTTTAGAAATGTATCTGTTGTAAATTTATTTGACCTTCTGACTTTTCTTCTAGTGCCACCAGCCACCAGTTCAAAATTTCCACATGTGCAAAGTTCAGTTCATGATTGGAAACATACAGTAGGGTGCTTTGACCCAGACCTGTCACCTGCTGATTGTGAACTGTCAAGGAAGTGATATTATAAGCAGGGTATATATTTATGCGAATCATTTGGTAACCATGGCAACATGTGTGTCACCACATTAACACAGGGGTTGTCCCTGATGAATCAGAAAGTGACAATGAGTTCAGAGGTGTGTTGTGCTTGTGTCCTACGCCACTTATTTTACTAGTGAGTGAAATGTAGCGACCACACTGTATCTCCCATAATATTACAGTAAAAGACACCTCTTTTTTTGTTCCTGTTCTACCTTTTTATTACTGTAAATGGAATGAGGTCCAGTTGCAGTCTCGGCCATTAATATTCACATCCTGTTATTTCTCCATGAATTTATTGTGACCACAAGAGAAGAAAAAGTAACACATGAAAAAGACCTGCTGTCAGCCATCAGTTTGTTTTTTCCATGTGGGTCCATGTAGCACTAATCATGCAGGATGACATCACCAGTCCAATTACAGTAATAAGCTACATGTCAGTCTGTATGGATATTTATTTTCTTGGTTTGAACCTAATCAATTGAACTACAGGTGTAAAAGTGCCCTAAAGCTAAAGACTGGGATGGTAATGATAATGTGTATTAGAAAATAATTGTGTGTGTGTGTGTGTGTGTGTCTATGCCACATTATCAATAGTAAACAATGATTTGTCCACGTTGCACAATGGTCGGACCCTATTCTGTGACCTTTAACCTTTTGTGGGGGGAGGAGACAGAGGTCCATGTGGCACAGTACAGTACAGTCAATGGGCATAACATGTTCAAAACAGAATAGACCAGAATAGAATTTGAGGTTCTGTCAGTTAATTTTAAGGATAATTCTAATTGTATATTTTTATTACAAAATGTACCGTCCAACCTCATTTCTTAGTATAGAGTAATTTAATTCATGTATTTAAAAAAAAATTTTTTTTTACAGTCCTTCACTTCATCAACTGATCTCACTGTTACTCATATCTTTATCTCACTTTACCCAATGAGTTTATTGGTGTCATGTCACTTAGGGCCCGTGTCCACCAAAGCATTTTTTGCCAGCTGAAAACGCCACCTGCTGTTCTGAAAACGCCTAGCAGGGAGCGCTAGGGTGCGTTTTGGAGGAGCAGTGGTTTTTATTCGAGACGCTGTGGTTGCTATGATGCATAATTTCCGTGGAGGTGATGTGTTGCAAGCAGAGTAGCCTACTTAATTTTAGTGAATGTATAAATGTCACCACAAAGTATGTAGGCCTACTTGCTCTGGCCTTTGCTCTGCATGAAGAGAAGGCTGAAACATGAGAGCACAGGCTGTCCCTACGTGGCGTTTATGAGATTTTGCGGACGAGGAAACACCTTGACGAGTAGGCGCATCATTTTGTTCAAGATCGATGTTTGTCCCGCCCCTCCTGCACTGTGATTGGACGGCTGGGTACAAAATGACAGCGATGAGCACAGCGTTTTTCCCAAAGTTGAACATTTTTCAACTCTCGGCAACTGGAAAAAAACGCTCAGCGCGGAAAAGACGCTCAGCGCCTCGTCACGCTCCTGCCGTTTTTACCAGCTAGTAAAAACGCGGCAGGAATTATTCCCATGGGAATGAACTGGAAAAAGACGCTGGCGTCAGGAAAAAATGCTTTGGTGGATTTCATTGTTGTTGTATGGAAAGGTGATGTTGTGTAACAAAACCAAACATGCAAACCATATGCAAGCCTCAGATCAGCTAATGGGGGAGTCAGTGTGTGTTTGTGTGTGTTTATATCTTTTGTGTGTACAGAGACACTGTGTTTTTCTGTCTTTCAACAACTTTAAAGATAAGATTGTCAGTGTAAGACTCTGACGGACAACACCCCTTGATGCCAGAATTTGTTTACAAAGAAAATAAAAATAAAAAGCATTTTCAATTGCTTTGAACCTGATGTTAAATTAAGTGGAGTTAATTTTTCAATAGAAAAGATATAAATTCAGGTATGATGTACATTAACAAATTAGCGACAACAGAAATAAATGAGAAACCAGTGCTTGCAAAAGGTCCCTAGGTTTGTACTGAATATGCACAAACAGGCATTGGGGGAATACATGCGCTATCTTGGCTGGAGTCTGAAAGGAAGAGGTATGATGTGAATTTGTGACAATCGGCGTTAAGGGGTTAATTTGACAAAAAAAAAACCTCACACACACACTTACTTGTACTCCTATAGTTGTGAGGACCCTCAATGACATAATGCATTCCCTGGACCCTTACCCTAACCTTAACCATTACAACTACCCCTAACCTCAACCTAATTCTAATCTAACCCCTAAAATCAAGTCTTAACCCCCGAAACAGCCCGTTGAAGTTCTGATGACCGGCCAATATGTCCTCACTTTCCAAAAATGTCCTCACTCTGCTGGTTAATACTGGTTCCAGTCCTCATATGTAGGAATTAAACACACACACACACACACACACACACACACACACACAAATTTAACATTTCTTAGGATCCTCATTGACATAATCTGTTCCCCAGCTTCATGGTAAGGGTAAGTGATTCTAATCTGATGCAGTTATTTTTGTCAAATTCGTGGAATATCTCCTCATGGTCTGCTCGGGTGACCATGACGGGCTTTGAGGTATGTTTTCTCCCGTTTGGTGTGCATGCCACAGTTGTTACCCAATCAGCTGTGATAAGTTTGTAAACACAACAACGTTAAATAGGCAGGAAAATGCAGTGCGCCTGCGCACACAACAGGGTATTCGAGGCACCTTCATTTCTGTTGAAAGAAAAAAGTTACGCTACGTTGATGCCACTGAACTTATCCCTGGCTCTGAGAAACAAACAAAGTCACTCGTATCGTACAGCACTATTCCAGCCATACCAGCCCTGATTTGTCCATCAGGTAATGTTAAATTACTTGCCCACAGACATTCAGCTTACTTTACAGTTGTTGTCATGTTAGCTATAGTAGCCAGAGAGTTGTGAGTATCGTTGTCTGGAGCTGGTGTACTGGCTCTGGGACTGTCTCGTCCACTCTGGATGTTAGTTTCACAGTAGCAAGAAACAGTTTGCTAACCCACAACTTAGCTAACATTAGGTACATTACTTGCTGTGTCGTTTTTTCGCTGTATGTCATGGTATTTGTCATGGGAATGGATTTCCGCAGAATACCTTCAACCCTTAAAACAAGTCAAAATGTCTTCACTTTCCTGAAATGTCTAAACTTTACAAAAAAAAGTCCTAACTTCACTAAAAGTCCTAATTTCTGAAAATAGTCTTTAAAATTTGCTCATTTACAAAAAATATCCTCAAGGTCAAAAACTTAAACTCCCCACAAAGAACAAGAGCATGCACACAACCACACACAGGCACACATATTTTCTGAAATGCAAACAGAAATGATGTTAGACAGCAGCAGCAACCTGCAGGTCGATACTGTGCTGCTGGCTTATAGGGAGTGTGGTGAATTGCCCAACCTCAGAGGTCAGGGAGTGTCTTATTATTCTGAGAGGAGGATGAGAAAAAGGGAATTTTGTCAAAAATGATTTAACAAAACAGATAATTTGTAAGTTTTGAACACATCCGCAACTGAAAACGTGGAGTTGCCGTAACACACAGTCAACAAGAAAATCCTCTGCAGTGAAGGAGTCGTCTTTTCATTAAGCTAATAAAGACATTTACAAACATTTTTGCTTTTTCACAAAATGAATACATTGATTGGATATAACAAATAATAAATACAATGCACTCAAAAGAGAAACATATCTCTAATATAGTAATATGACATTTCATTTGAATTAAAGTACAATATGGCATTTAAACTGAAACTGAGAAAATTTTGGTGTGTGTGCATGTTTGTGTGTGAGTGCATGTGTGTGTGTGTATAAATAGCTACTACTCCTTGCACGTACGTCCTGTCCCCAAACTCATAATCAATCACTATCTCCTACTGATGAATGATGCCATTATTTCTACATGAGAAGATCTGAAATTATCAATAATGATCAATAATGGTATTTACAACATAGACCAAAATAAGTGTAAAATAAAATATAGCCAGTAGTTAAAACATGCCAAGAATATGTACAGAAATACTTTTTCATGCTTTAATTACATTGTATTTTTTGATGTTAATTTATAGAACTTCTAGAAGAGAAGTGAAGATATTTAAGGAATAGAAATACAACCATCACGTGAATGTAGGTCAGCATGTATGTAAATGAGAGAAGTCAGATGGCTTGCGCCAGGGGTGGCTGACCTCTGACCTCTGACCCTTTTAGCTGTAGCGAAGAAAACCTGCAGGAGTCAACAGCTGGATTTAAAACAGGCCATCGTAATCTCACAGATTCATTTGAATTGGAATAAAGCAATTTGTAAACTTTCAAACATTTGATATTTTAATGTTTTGTATTTGAAGATGTAAAACATACATTTTTATCAGAGACTGTAAAGAAAATGTAAGGTTTAAAAAAATTAGTGATTGATTCATGTTCATGTAAAGACTGTAAAGTGTAACTCATCTTTTATTATAGTTTTGCAGATTTTTATGATCTAGCAGCAGAATTTATGTTTAGAATGAGGAAACTTTATTGATCAGTGTAGGACAGTCACTGCTGAAATATGAGATAAAAGAGTTTTTTTAAGTAACAATAAGTTTGACAGGAAAACCCCTAGAAAACTAAATAAAAATGATAAATTTTAATTTATTTAACATAAATAAACACAGATACACAACAAATAAATAAGTATATACAAATGTATATAGGTAGTAGGTTAAAAAATAAGCAAATCTGTAAGGAAATAGGTGTTTAAACAACACTAACAACTGGTTTTAATTTTGCATGAATTTGTGTTTATTATTATTATATTATTTTTCTAGTTTTCAATTAAATACATATTCATTATACAATAAATACATTATGAAAACAAATATGAAAATATCAGTGTCTGCATCCAGTACATGACTTTTATACAGAGAGGTTTGTCAAATCAGAGCCCTCCTGCCTATCAAAAGAGGACCAAATGACCTTTATGATCAAGAAAGACCTGCAAAATAGACATGTCTACATATCCAAGGGCAGATATTTCATGTCACTGTTGGTTGGGACAATAAAAACATTGTCCAGCAGGAGATTTTTAGAAATGAAGTCACTGAGGGTCTGAAAAAGTTAGGCTGCAGACCAATCCACTGTGAGGCATTATTGTTTTCAGTTTCAGAATATCATCTATGTGTGTATGTGTGTGTTTGTGTATACTGTATATGTGTGGAGATGAAATGAAATATGTGAATACAACATTTAAGGTCAAAGTTTGAGGTAAAGTACAGAATGACAAAAGACAAGGAAAAACAAAACAAAATACAAAATAGAAAAACAATTGGTTTTTAATACAAATAGAAACAAAGTCGGGAAAAAAAATTGAATAATAAATTCCAGTCAGTATCATACATAGGACATGAGTCTATAGTAGATAAAAAGTCATAAAGTTAACCTTGATCATCCTCTGACTATATATTCAAAAGGAGCGCACACAGAGAGGACAAGCCATCAATTGGGTCTAGACCTACAAAGAAGCAAAAATGAAATTATTGGATTAATTAAGAAATTTTTATCACTTACAGGAAAATTATTAACATGGTGCGTCTTTTACTTTGAGCAAGAAATTTGACTGCAGAGCACCAAGGTGAATCTGTTTTGGCACATAAAACAGCTCCACTAATCTGCTGTCGTCTCTGATTCAACCATGTGGAGCTCTGAAATATTAATGCAGCTCTTCTTCAGCCTCTTCTGCTTCTCTTTGATCAGAAGTGTGAAAACTCCCAAAACCTCGGCCTCAGTCTGCAGCCGTCGAGCTGATTGTTGGCCCCGTCTTCGGGCCGAGAGGAAATCAATAAATCAAATGTTATGATTAAAAGAGCAACATGCCAGAGGACATTAAATAATCATGCAGGGAGGAGGAAGATGAGGAGGAGGAGGAAGACCCCCCTCCTTAAGTCCTTTGGTTAATAAATGATGACTGTGCTGTGATTTGGAGAATTACTTTGTCAACAAGGACTTTATCAACAAAGCACTAAAGTCACAGTCTGTAAGCTAAAAACAAGTCAAACCGTAACTACAGCCACAATCAAAAATTAAAACTACTCAGACTCAAATAATTGACAGGTCTTAATATAACTAGCTTAAGTTATAAATGTTTCTGATACATAGCATGCGCACAGTTGATGCTATTTTGCCTGATGAACACACAAAATGACAATATTTATTTGTCGAACTCTATGACTTTAGCTCAGTTAATAAGGTCTAAAACAAATAGAGCAGCGGGGCTTTAAAGCTCATGTCTGTAATTTTATATATTTGCAGCAGTGTTCAGAGTTGGAATATAAATGAAATTTTGTATAATTTTCTGCAAGTTCAAAGCATTAGTACATTCAGGACTTCTACTCTAGTTGGACAGACAGTGCTCTGTCAGCATTAGAATGCAACGCTTTATATACTGAGAAACAGGAACAAACCACATCACATACTAGAGTAGCAATAATTTATGGCGGAAAAAAGAGTTATGTTTTGTCAGAGAGTCTATATATAAAGGCAGATATATATATATCTGCCTTTTAAAAACACAAGCCTTTAAATGATAAAATGAAAGCTCCTCTTCAGGTCCCCAAATTTACAGAAAAATTGAGGACCTCAGTGCCCTCAGCTACAGCCACGGTTACATGAATACATATGGTTAATAGTTTTACATTTTCAGCTGCTACATATATATATATATATATATATATATATGCATATACACACACACACACACGCACACACACACACACACACACAGTTTTGTTGTTGTTAACCAACGTGCACAGATGAGAGGTAAAGCAGTCCTCAGAACACCGAGCTGCTTCTCTGGGAGGAAACTGAGCTCACATGGAAATTTATCACTAATATTGATCTGAATTAGCATGAGCTGCCTCTGCCTGTGGCCATGTTCTCTCTGATCTTTGAAAAAACATATACGTGTGTGTGTGTGTGTGTGAAAGAGAGAGAAAGGGAGAGAGTGTGTGTGCACTCAAACTGTCAACTGCTTTGTAACTAATGAGGGAAGACGATGAGCCCTTTAGTGATGTGAATTATGAAAAATATCCTGATTAAAGATGTCATTTCAGAATATATTTTCTTGCCTTCTTACCTCAATTTCAGGAAAAACTGATTCCAAATCGTTTTGTTTTTACACAGTTTATGCTGTGCCCTGTTTATTTTTCCTTTTGTATCTGTCTTACTGCGTATTACTGTGAACCCTCAGTGAGTGAGATCAGTGACTAAAATCACTTAAAATGTGTCATTTAATTAAATGTTTACTGTTATTTTTAGGTTTAAATTGAGTAATGGCAGTTACAAAGTGCCTAATTTACTAACTGCTGTAAATTAATTATTTTGAGGTACTGTCCTGTGGATGGGGGGAGGATTTGAAGTCTCGTAATGCCAACAAATGACTTGCCAGGCTGGACTAGAATTTACAGAAAATTAATTAAACAATGACATTCCTGGTCCTGGCATTTTCTTTTTAAGTGTTAATATCCCAAAGTATGCACAATTACAATCTGATTTGAGCATATTTACGGACAAAGTGTGGGATTAATATTTGTTTTACGATGACTGTGTGTGTGTGATGTAGTTTTTTTCATTTAACCCACTTTTAAATTATTTCTACGAACTTCTTATTAAGATGACTGCTATTGTGGAATACAATTGTTTTATCATATACTATTTATGTCTTACTGTTCTGTATGGCTAATGTGTAGAAAAACAGTATTGCTCATTTGTGCTCAGTTGCTTTATCCTGCTTTGCATGGCTGCATGTAATGCATAGTGGATGTGGTCATTGTATTGTTGCAGCAATATTTTGCTTCTTCCTGGCTTGTTTTTGTTGCTTGTGCATTTCAGTGTCTTTCTGCATTTCTCTCTGTTTGTATTTCTTAACTTGTCACTTTCTGAACATCTTGCCAAAGGACTGCTGCTGAATATTAGCCTGCAGGCTAACAATAGCACATTTACAGAAATGATGATTGTTGTCTTTCACATCATTAATGAAATGAAACAAGTATTGCATGTTCATGAATTCAGCATCCTTTATTCTTAAAAGTATGGCAGCATCAGTTAAACAGTTCCATTTCTTTTGCTTCCTTTTTTCCCCCTTTGTTTTTTTGTAATTGCTGATCATGAATCGCTTAAAAAGTAACACAACCTTAGATGTAATTATACCTGTGAAATTGTGGGGTATTTTGGTTGTATTAAATGATTGAAGAATTAATTCTCAGCACAAAACCATAAAGGTCAATTTTTTTAAGGGCTATTTGGTTGCAGTTGTCTGGAATTTAGCAGCGGTTTGTACATGACTAATATACAAAGTCATATAGTGTGAGATGAAGGGCTATTAAATTAGTGTTTATTTAGAGTTGGAAATGCCGTGATAATGGCGTGCGGTCACATTTGAATACAGCGGGTCGGCTCTGCACGCGGCCATTGTGTTCCGATTAAAAGCAGATTTCACGGCCAACAGAACTGCAACAAAAGAGGCAGCAGGTCCGAAAAGTTTGAAAAGACTTGAAGAGAATAAAGGAGGAAGGGAAAGAGGATGAGGGAGGAAGAATAAGAAGAAAAGGGGGAGGAGATAGAAGAATAGAAGAAAGAAGGAAGACGATGGAAGTGTGCCTTCATTTTCTCAGTTTTTTCCCCAAATGGCTAAGAATAGGCTGTGAGATGCTGCAGTTTTATTGTTATTATTATTACATTTAGATAGTGAGTGCGACAGGCAGCAACATCTTTTTTTACAGCTATTTTATCCGATATACTGTATGTACAGCCTCCTCATATTTTATCTCTATAAATGTATATACATTTCTATATTATCTCTATTTATATATGGTAACCATAGTATATATATGCATGCCTGGACCCAAAAATCTTTATAAATCTTTAGATTACCTCCACATAATTATTTATAGCTTTGGATATGCATCACTCTACCTACACACATGTGTATGATCTAAATATAAATAGCTGTCATCTCTTTATATTAAATTTCTATTTGTCTCTACATCTGTAATAAAATCTCAATATAATTTTATTCTATGTATCTCTATACATGTCACTGTGTATTATCTGCATATATGTGCATTTATAAAGTTATATTTTGGTTCCATACATTTAAAAGCCGACCTGTCCAGGGTGTACCCCGCCTTGCGCCCGATGTCAGCTGGGATTGGCTCTATGAATGTCTGTAAATCTACATTCCATCCCTAAAAATCTCTGTATAATTGTATAATATGTGTGTATAAATTGCTCCCTTGTTGTTTATGCACATCTTTGTATCATCTCTATATATTTTTGTATATGTATTGTATTGTATGTCTTTCAGTGTGTACATTTTCTCTACTAATCTACAGTATAACTTTCTTTCATATGTATCCGTCTTCAAAATATTACATTGCATTATATTTATTTAGCTGATGGTTTTATCCATAGCAACTTACACTAAGTGCATTTCCCCATGTGGATACAACCCAACCACAGCAAGGATCACGCAAGTATCTCCATCAAATATGTGTATACAAGTCTGTGTGTGTGTGTGTGTTTCTTTGTATAACTGTGTATTCTCTCTATCTGTGTTTATGAAACTTTATTTTATGTATTTAAATACAGTTCCACATTTTATCCTACGAATACCAATAAACACGTTTAATCGCTAAGTATTTATGTAACTCCACAAATGAGCTCAGTATTTCTGTATCTGTCTATATTCATCTTCATAATTTCTGTTTAATCTTTACGTACACTATCTCTAATAAAACCTGTAAGTATCTCAAATTTAAAATCTCATATTTCAAAATATGCATTTATAAATGTCTAAGTTGATACATCATCTTTATATAAGGTGTTGTTTCTATATTATCTCTACTAATCTAACTAATTTATATTATATTTTTATATGTGTATAAAACCCAGTTTCATCACCATATAAATATTTAATTCTGTTTTATCTCAAATAAATTGTTCCTTAATTAAATCTCCACAATATCTGTACATAGCTTAGAATATTATCTTTATGTATCTCCATCAAACTCAACATTATCTCTATATATTTATCTTCTTTATATAAATCTAGCTCTAAAATTCTATATAGTATTATGCATAAATCTCTATCAAACTCAAATCTCATCAAAGTCTGTATTCTTTCTATTTCAAAATCTCTCTTCTTCTCATATATATAATTTATATTTAACACCAAATATGGCTGCCATGAAACACCAAAACACACTGAACAGGACTCACCAGCAACCAACCACTGCAGGAGGAGTTTACAGCAGGACAGATGGACCCCCGTCCAAAAACTGCTGGGTCATTTAGAGGGAGAGAGGGAGGGAGGATGACACTGGTTATATTGAGAGAAAAGAGAGAGAGAGAGAGAGAGAGAGAGAGAGTCAGTGGGACAGATGCAAGGCAAAGCGAAGCAGTGTTTGTCACTAACGCTATAGATTAGCATGTGGTCTCCAGCACAAAGCTGCAGATCAATACTGCTGCTCTGTACACAGCAGATGGCCCAGGACAGAGAGAGAGAGAGAGAGAGAGAGAGAGAGCGCAAGAGAGGACAGAATGGAGAGGAGGAAGCAGGAGAAGGAAACGTCCTGATCAACCTGCATTGCTGCAGCTTTATTCCCATTTTAAAACCTCCTGCTTATGTTCAATCACAGCTACTGTGACTCACCGGGAAACAGAGCATTGAGTTGCAACCTGGATTCTTGTGTCTAACAATTATGCATTTATGTTTTGATGCATGTGATATAGTTAATTATCATTTGTTGTTTTGTTGTTTGTCTGTCTTTATTTCTTTAATAATTTAATTATAAACTGAGTTGACTTGAGAAAGGCAGTTCCTGTTTCTCAGCGTGTTTCTCTAAAGGTCAAATCAAGTCAGTGAAAATCTAAATAAATGAACCCTGAAAACGTTTTTAACAAATTATATTTTCACAAGCTGATATTTATACAAAATTTAAACTTCCTTCAAACATTTTAACAGTTAACTTACAATAAAGACCAACTTTAACCTCTGTTTACAAAAGATGCTTACAATTTTTTTAAATTCTAAAATAGTGCTGTTACAGTTCCTACAGATCCTTAAGAAGTGTGTTTTTTTAAATTATTTTTAAAATACCTTTTAAATATTTTAATACATTAAAGAATACTTTAAAACTTAAATGATATCATGCTTCATTTCATGTTCAGTCCTTTTTAACTTGTCATAACAAGATTTAAAAGTAAATTGACAACAACACAAAATAAAATGAATGAATTAAAATCAAATATAAAAAAACACAGCTTAAAGCTAACGTTATTAAATTATGTTAAACAACACACAGTATTCCTAATAGCTGTATTATAATGCAGATGTTAAAATGTATCTGAAACATACAACTTTGTAAAAAGCCAAGACAGTAAGCTGAAATACAGCAAATATAACCTGAGAAATGCAAATAATAAATGCAATGTCTCACCATTTGACACAACGTGACTTTGCACAGAGAGCAGATAGTCAGGCTAATGATTATCTCAGCAGACAGACAGTCGGTCAGTTAATCTTCTACTGTAACGGCACTAAGGTCTGCAAACAACTCAGCGACCAAACTTTTACTTCCACGGTTAATGTCGTGCGTGTTAAGATATTTAAATAAACGTATAATTAGGTCAAGACAATATTCTCTCTCCACTTTATTAGAATAACTCAGTGTTTCACAGCATGGTCGTGCTGAAGAAATTCCAAGCAAGTCTGTAAGAGGTCAACAACACTGCAGCCTTTGAAACATGCTCAATTTGCACAGTGTTACACACATTATATTTGTAACTTGTACTTAACATTTGCTATTTTGTGATCATCCACATTAAAGGATGAGGCTGGTGAAGTTCTATATTTTCTTAGTGTCAACGAATCCCACGTAAAAACCCAAACTAATAATGAAGGTATCTTACTAACAAGTTCTTCATAGGTATCAAAGCCTGATGCATCTTTTTTATATCTGTTTATTCTGACTCAATCCCACATACACTGTCCTGCTGCCCCAAATACTCACTATAGGATGTGGATTAATCCGCAGCTGAAAATAGGCCCCAACAAATACACTGTTTCCTCCTGTTGTTTGCTGTAAAATGAAAACAATGAAACATTAGTGAGGTGTTTTTAAAGATGCATGTCTTCAGTAAGATCCAATGGGCTTGGGGCCGAGAGCCACAGACAGGTTTTTGAGACATGGACTATCACATTGTTGGCTTTTGGAGTGTTCACTTGGCCTGTTACTGTTGTTGGCCCCAGAGAGGAGAAGTGGCTGCACATCGTTGAAAGGCTGAATCGGGATTCCTCTCAGGTGACGATTGTGCTTGTGACTGTTCAGCGACGTTCAGGCAGTTAGAAGACCCCTATTATGACATGTCTTTTGAATATTCATCATTTCAGTTCTTCTGTTATTCGTTTATACAAATTCAGGAGCATGTTTTTAGCTTCTTGAACTGAAATAAACCTTCTGTGAGGGGGCGGAGCTTGAGTCTCTGCCTGGCAGCGATGTTGGCGTTTTGTTTACACTGCCATATTGACTTCAATCACTTCCTCTTCCCCCTCCTCCTCCTGCAGCTGCTCCTTTACAGTCAACCCCACCACCACCTCCACCCTCCCTTCCCCATGTCCCTCATTACTTCATCCTTCTTTCCTTTCCTACACCTCTTCCATTTTATCATCTGGATCTTCCCCTACACCTCCCCCACTTACCAACTCCTCTTTCTTCAACTCCTCATCCCACTCCTGTTCCTCAACTTTCTTTATCTCTTCCTTTAACCCTCTCCACCTCCTTCTCATCTTCCACATCCTTCTCTCGCCTCTGGTCTCCATCTCCTCCTCCACCTCCTCATCCTTCATCATCTCCTCTTCCTCTTCCTCCTTCTCATACTTGCTCCTTGTCATTTTTCTTCACCTCCTCTTCCTCATCCTGCTGTGCCTCTCACTCCTTCTCTCTATCGCGTCTTCTACTTTTCTCTCTTCCTCCTGCCTTACCTCCCATCTCCTTTCTCTGCATTGTGGAACGTCAGGTGGAACAATAAAATGGCAGCTGCCTCTCAAATCGGCTTCCCTCAGCAAGACAGCGAAAAGTTTTAAGAAGAAACAGAAATACAGACAGACTGAGAGGCAGGTCGTCCCTCAGCAGGCCCCCTGCCTGTTTCTCTGACAGCTGATCAGAAGGAGAAAATGGGTCAGGCTTCTGTTCTTCTGTCCTTAATTACACAACAGTCTTTAAACAAAGCAACATCTGCCCAACTACCCATCATGCTCCTCCTCCCCATCTCTTCCTTTGCCATCTCCTCCAGCTTCTTTTCTCCTTTTTACAACCTCTCATCACTCAGGCTCAGTGAATTTAGCAACACTCTGTTACAGGTCTGTGATTTAGTAATTATTTCCAAGAAATGTCCATGAAAGAACTGCAAACGGTGGGAGGAATAATACAGACACTTTTCAGTTGGTTCTACTCCAATTAATTAATCAAAAATAATTGCTCATGTGTAACACAGAGAGTCTTTTAGTCAGTGCACAGCAGGTCAGCTGAAGCCAAAAAATGTTGAATTTGTCCACAGGCAAGATTACAATTCAATAGATGGAGAGAATAACGTTTCCAGTAATAAGTAAATAATTAATGAATATTTTCTTGGGCTTAAATTAATCTTTTGCTCCCTTTAATTAGTACCAAATTGCATTGTTCTTTACTGGAAATTTCCTGTGACTGGCTTTTCATTTTACTCTTGTATTATTGATGCTATGGGAGGGAGAATTTCTTATCTTATGTTTCCCACAAGCTCTGGAGGAAACAACAGATTTGTAACATTCACAGAACATTTTGCGAAATGTGCATTATTTCAAAGAATATTCATGTAATGTTATATGTTTTTAACAGTTTAAAATTTTGACATTAAAGCATTTTGAGAACATTTTGATGCCTACAGAAATCTTTAAGGGTGTTATTTCAATGCAGGAAAATATTCAGCCAGGTTCAGGATCTCCGAATGGCTGCCCAAATCTCCAGTTTGTTTAAAGGATTGAAATATGGTGTGCTATTTCCTGAGTTGGAGATGGGTTGGAATGGGGGTGTCATTTACCTCCTTGGCTACAGTATCTCTAAAAAGTTGCAACAGAAAAATTGCCACAAAAATCTCAATTAAAATATTTAAGCAAACTGCTGATAGTAACCTCTGTCACAGCTTGAGTCCAAAGAGAAATCAGCCAACATGAACACAATTTCCGATTTACTGAATCAAGTGAAAGAAAACGGCAATTTGGTCTGATTGTGTGGCAATAAATAACAAGCACCAACCACAAAATAAGAGCAACCAGAAAAACAACCAGAACCATAATGTTAAAAAACAACAACATGGACCACCTATTATTACAGAAAAAAAATCTAAAAATATTTTGACCAATACCTAAATTGGTGGTGGTCACAAATATCTAGTTATACTGTCTTGTGGATGAGGAGGAGGATCTTTCACTTTAAAAGTACAGTCAACCCTGATGTAATTTGTTTGTTTGTGTGTTTGTATCATAATTTACAATGATAAATGGGGTAGAATTATTAGTAGTTTAATATAAAATAGGTTTCTGATTGCTTTTGTTGTTGTCTTTACTGTCGTTGTTTTATGATGATGGATCAGAGCTAGAGAGGGAGACAGAGAGAGAGGCAGACAGAGTTATTTAGCAGTCATTTGTCCTTGGAAGTGTAATGAATTGTAAAGTGAACGGGCTACAGGCCATAATGCTCTCACAGTGCAGCTCCCACGCTCATCACTCCACCCAGAAACTGTCGATAACGTCCCAACACACACCAGCGCATCGTTTACACTGCAGCAGTCTGCACTCAACACTGTGAACTACACAGCTGTAAACATCTGTCCAACGCCACAGACCAAGTGTGCTGTATTGTTGATCAACTCCTGTGATGTTGTATAATGTAATGTTATGTCCTCATACTTTGTGTCATGTCATATCGTGCCATGCCAGATGATGGTGTATCATGTCATGATATGTTAAGTCATGTCACACCATATCATGTTGTGCCACGCTACTGTATGTAATTTAATGCCGTGTCACATTATAGTTCTTTGGTAGTGTCATCCTTTCTCATGACACGTGCTTTAATATGTCACGTTATGTCATGTTATATCATATCACGTTATATTATGTCATGCCAAATCAAATTAAGGAATGTTTCATCTCACGTCACATCATATCATGGGATGTTAGTTCAACTCATGTCATATAATATTTAAAGTTGTGTATGCGGGATCATGACATGTCAAATCAGATGGACGCTGTATTATGTCAAATGACATCGAGTACACGACATTACAAGGTTACAAATTATATTTATTTATCATTTTACCACACGTCATGTCATTTAGCATCATGTTGTGTCGGTGATGTTTTGGTCACACTGTAAATGCTCTGTATTTGTTTAGCGCCTTTCTAGTCTTCCAACCACTTAAAGCGCTGTTACACTACACATATACAGACACCATCCGGCAATTCGGAGTTGGAGATTGGAATCCAACTCCGATTGAACCGCCAATCTTCCAATTAGTGGGCCTCTACCTACTGAGCCACAACATGTCATGTAACATCAGATGTATTCACTATCCATAAACTGAGGAAAATTCCATAAATGTAACAAAATTCTATAAATAAATAAATTAAAACATTATATTTCAAGCAGTCATTTGTTTTGTGAAATTTGGCAGCAGTCTGAACCAGTGACTTCTATGCTTCACTCAGTAAGCTGCGTTTATGTGCTGGGGGAAAGTTCAATAGTCAGGCGTCAAGTAATTTGTTGAAAAGATCAAACCTTAAAGACAAACGTAAACCTTTGTGGAAGTGGCTGCGTTGCAAGGGAGAAGTAAAGGAAAATGTCCTCAATGTTGGGGGAGGATTTGTGGTCTCTGACATCAGTCTTGGTTTAATCATGAGTTTAGCATTTGTTATTTCCAATCACCTTACTCTATCTCACCAATCAGAGGCAGCGGCTGATGAGATTGAGAGCTGAGATGAGATCAAATTTTAATGATCCCTGTAGGCAAACTGCTTCTTTGCAGCAGAAGCAGCAAAGGAGAAAAAATGGTGCCCCTTAGTTTATTACAAAAAATTCACAGATTAAATCAGTTTCCCCCCTACCCCAGATACACTACAGCGAATATGAATATCTGCAGGATTTAAACATACATCATTGACTCTCCACACAAACACTGCTGGATGCTGTCAGGCACCTGGCCTTTCTGTAAAAAGACTGAATTAATTTCACATTCATTTCCCTGTGGCCCCCTAAGTAGACTGGACAATGTTCACTGAAAAATTCATATAGGGAGTTTACAGCAAAAAATATGAGAATACTAATTATTGTGAATTTTAGAGTGAATTTTCAGCATTATCTTCTATAGATTCATCTGCTGTCTTTCCTTGCACTTTAAGGACTTCTCATCTATGTTGTCTTCAAAACAACTACAAAACTACAACAGCTTCAAAATGGACCTTGAGGTGAAATTGTTTTCTTTTCCACTGGGTCAAGACAAAGTCTCTATAGTAATATCATATTACTATAAATACAGTAGGACTATGTCTTTTCTTCTCATGCCCTGTTTAAATGCCTACTGTAGGTTACATGAATATGATAAGGACACACTGAACTGAAAATTTGGTGTGCATGTCTACACCTTGTACTCACATTTAAAACCTACAGACGTGCCACTTTTGTAACATAAGGATCATTTTATAGGAATAGGTAGACCTACAATAGCCTAATGATTCTTCGTTGAAATCCCCCCCCAGCGCAGCGTCACTGTCTTTACCACTACATACACAAAAGACGCAGATTGGCTAGCCGGCGCATCCGCCCCGCCCTCCACATTCCTACCGGCCTCTCTGATTGGTCCGCTGCACCGTCAGTCGGACGGGTGACGCCCCTCCATCCGAGCCCGCTTCCCCCCCACCGCCACCCACTCCTCCTCCCGCAGCAGGTTGGGTTGAGCGGTCAGCAAGGGGACCGTGGACAGCTCCCGTCTGAAGAGCAGAGTAACGTAGGAGGAGGAGAGGGCTGGATATGGGGGAGCCACCGCACAGGCCCGTACGATCGAGATAAAAACCGCTTTTTTTATGTACACACGCCGGGGAAAATACACAAAGACACGGAGCTGGAGAGGTCTGAGGAGGACGGGGGAACAACCGCGGAAGTGAAGAAGAAGGGGGGATACGGCTACTGACCCATCCCGGAGCATCAGGGGAGAAGCAGCACAGAGAAAGGAGGAGAAGGAGACATAATTCCGCTCGACCTGATGGACTGAGAGGACAGATGAATGAAGACTGCCTACACTAACGCTTATAGATGCCTGGCCAAGGATCTGGACGCTTATGCCATGAACACGGACATGACAATGGACAGCATCGGCAGCCTGCATGGCGGGGTGGCGGTGAGCTCCGTGGCCCCTGATGCGGAGCTGATGAGCGGCCACAGCCCGCACCACGGCCGCGGAAGCTCTTCGGTAGCGGCGGCGGCCACCCTGCGGATACACCAGGACTTGGCCGCCGCCGCCGCGTCATCCCGCTCGGCCATGGTGTCCGGCATGGCCACGATACTGGACGGCAGCGGGGAGTACCGGCCGGAGCTGTCCCTACCGCTGCACCACGCCATGAGCGTGCCCTGCGACACGTCCTCTCCCGGGATGGGGATGAGCGGCACATATACCACCTTAACCCCGCTGCAGTCGCTGCCCCCCATCTCCACCGTGTCCGATAAGTTCCACCATCATCACCATCACCATCACCACCAGCGGCTGTCCGGGAACGTGAGCGGGAGCTTCACCCTGATGCGGGACGAGCGGGGGCTACCGGGCATGAACAACCTCTACAGCCCCTACCACAAGGACCACATGTCCGGGATGGGTCAGAGTCTGTCCCCGGTGCTGGGTAACGGCTTGGGCTCCATACACAACACCCAGCAGGGTCTCCACAATTACGGCACCACGACGCACGGAGGTCATGACAAGATGCTGAACTTCGACGCGCACCACACCGCCTCCATGCTGGCCAGAGGGGACCACCACCAGCACCGAGGCCTCGGTGGTCCGGCGGCCGGGATGATGCCGCACCTAAACGGAATGCACCACCCGGGGCACCCGGCCGTGTCCTCGGCGGGTCACCACCCGCACCCCCACCCCCACCTCCAGTCTCCATCCCACGGGCCCGTGTTGGCTTCCACCAGGGAAAGACCGCCCTCCTCCTCGGGGACGCATGGGATGAACAGCTCGGGGCAGCTGGAGGAAATCAACACCAAGGAGGTTGCGCAGAGGATCACGGCGGAGCTGAAGAGGTACAGCATCCCCCAGGCCATCTTTGCCCAGAGGGTGCTGTGCCGCTCCCAAGGGACCCTGTCGGACCTCCTGAGGAACCCCAAACCCTGGAGTAAACTAAAGTCAGGTCGGGAGACCTTCAGGAGGATGTGGAAGTGGCTGCAGGAGCCGGAGTTTCAGAGGATGTCGGCCCTCAGACTGGCAGGTAAGAGCAGAAAAACAACAAACTGTGATGCCATGCTGCTGCCTTGGTTTGCTTTATTCGTCGGAACAACAAGAGGGATTAAAATCTTCCTCCTAAAGAAAATCCAAAATTATTTCCCCCACTGTCACTAATGGTGCTTTGACTTTTTATCTATCGCTGTTTTTGTTTTGGTGTTTCCTCGTGTATTCTCTCCAGCAGAGAACTCCAATTTAGATGAATGAAATTTATTTAGAATCACTGGTGTTGTGATTACCATTATTGATCAATAACAAAAAGGGATCGATACGAAATGACAAGGTCACGGGATTTCCCTCCAACAGTCCCTCTCCCTCTGCACTGTGCAATAACCCAGATTTTATTTTCCTATCCCTGCGTGTTAGGACGGAATACACTGCACATTGAGTCAATATCAGCTATTTATTCTGCTCCACATTCCACCCAAATGAAGGCTTAAAAATAAAATAAGTCTCTTCCTGTTTTAAATTTGTCTTTGTTTTTTGCAAAAAACAAAGAAAAATATAAAACAGGCAGAGGTTTCTTTTTGAAATAATTCTTTACATTTGGAAGTTTGACACAACATTTAGGAAATGGTCCATTATATATGTTGACGTTTCCTTGTTTAGGATTAATTAAATCAAGAGGGTGAAATGATTATTCTCATTGTAATTCAGCGGTATCATGCTTTGATTTTGGTCACAGGGATTGTTTTGTTTAGCTGGTGCTGAGACTGTCATTAGCCTGTTAAAGGCTTATTGTGCTCTTCTGGTATTAGCGGGGAGAGAGGTGTGAGAAGGCATTCAGCGCAGACAGAGAGGGTCGGAAGAGGATTTGTGTTTGATTGTGAGAAGCTTGAAGGGGATCAGACAGCTGTGACATAAACATGAAGGTTTGGAGCATCAGTGGGTCTGGTGCCCCCTCTAGTGAGGAACCTGGTTTATGCCCCAACAACAACGTGCCTCTATTTTGTCTGCAGGGGACAGCAGCAGCAGCAGCAGCAGGGACAGAGCAAAATAAAAGGATCAGGTGACTTATAGGGATCAGGTTCAGTGTGAATTATGTTCAGTTTTTCAGGAATATTGTAACATGAACAGAGTTTAATGTTTCATGGGGTTTAGTTTGTCTGTGGTGAGTTCATAGTACGATTTATCATATTTGATGTACTTAACAGGTGTTTTTAAAGGAAATTCTGAAAGCCTAATAATAGCCTACATCAGAGAACTATAGCATGTTTGAATGTCACATGGTAGTCTGAAAAGACAAATGAAAAATGACTAGCATTCACCTGAATTTTTATTAGAGTTTAAACAAATCAGTGTGAAAAGAACTGAGTCCAGGTATTTGGATTTTCATCTTTCTGAAATATTTTCTTCTAGCAGCAGTAACTTAGTGTAAATCAGCATAAAGATAACATGAGTTCAGTCAGTTTTCTTAATGCAGTTTCCAGCTGCGTTTATCTAATCTTTTGTTCTTCAGCTATAAATACATTTAAAAATTCAAAGAACCAAATACATTCAGTTACACAGATAATAAAATAATAAATTAGGCGAGATGCATATATCCATAATAGGTTTCTGATAAAAATAAATAATGTAAAAAAAATGTAGAACTTGTCAGTATAAAGAAAGCGAAGGATGAGTTGAATAATCTTATTGTAAATGACTCAATCTGTTTGTGCATTTTTGCTTTTGGATATTGTGGCTTTAATGTGAAAATCATGTATCTCCAAAAGGTTAACCTGCCAAGAAAACAAGTTCTCAGCCTTCTGAAAGTGCATGTTTCAAAAATATGTGTTGTTGAGAAGTTTCTCAACTGACAAAGGAACACTTCCCAATAAAAATAAAAATCACCAATACATGGAGATACATTTTTTTTTAAACTGATGCATGTTATTTGCTCAATGTCAAAAATTTCCATATGTTGTATGGCTCAAAATCTTACATGGCCAGAACATTAAATATTATAATAATAATTTTCAGAATCAACATTATTTTACTAGCAAATAATACAAATATAGATATATAACTAAACAAACCTAAGGAAGCATATAGCTTGAAAAACCACGAGATACACATATACATTAACAACCAGACAAAAACATACTGTCTATTAAATTAATGCTGAGAGAGTGTGTGGCAGTGTGAGGTATGCTGCAATCAATATTACTTTTGAAAAATGAAAAATAAATGATCAAATAATGCTTTCAAACAGTATTTTGTTATAAAGCATGCAATATTTGAAATTATGTGGTTATAATTCCGTTTGTAAACTTCCATTTTATTTGTTATTGTCCAATAAAAAACAGTGTCTCTGATGGTTTTGAAGTTTTCAGTGGATTAAATGCTCCTTTATGGGTTGAGAAAATTCTCCTACTTCTTCGGCTGAAATAAAAAACAAAAATAAAACTTCTAAAGCCCAATATCCAAACCCAATATATTACAAAAATCTTAAAAGCTTAAATCATGTTTTATATTGTCCTGAAAAATTTTGGAGATATTTTTTTATGGTAATTATAGACAATGTAGTGTGGCGCTTGACTTTAAGTAAGAGTAATATACTTTCACTGTAAATTGAGGTGTATTCCACTGTGGTATTTGTTTTACATACAAACACTTTTTGCAACAAAAGTGAATACAGTATGTGAAGTCTGTGTATGTCTATATATATATATAGACATACACAGACATATATATATATACATATATATATCTTTAGTTTTTAAATGAAACATACATGTTAAAATGACAAAATGACCTATATAAATGACTTATCTAAATTATACAAAAGCATAATAAAAATGTACTGTTTGCTTTGTGTTGTGTAGATGCAACCTATATGGAGTTTACTGTATACCATTCCTAAAATATTCCTAAATGGAGAGTTAGTTTAGTCTTATTTCAAATGACTATAATAATAATTCTAAACTGATCTCAGAAATAACCTGACTCATGTTGTCATTGTTTTTCATACCAGTATCAATCATTTTGCTGTAATAGGATAAAAAAAATCAATTGATCCCCGTGAGGGAAATGTGTTTTTGGTGTTTCAGTAGTGAGTTTATGGAGATCGTATCATATTCTGAAGTCACTTATCTGCTCGGTTACGTCTGACACATACTGGTGTAGTTATATATTTAGTAGCTGCTTCATATGTTTGTTCCTATCTGTTCAGTATCCTTTGCTCTGACATTTATTGTGGTTGTTTTTGTGAGGCAAATGAGGCATAAGATGCAATATTTATGGCATACACCTAACATGGTTCCAAGTGGCTGAACAGACATTGCTGGAATTTGATTGGAATTTTTTATTTAATAAGCCTACATTCGGTCATGAGATTTGGTCCAGCCCAGACCCCTATTTTTTAAATTTGTGCACGTATTGTTGTGGATGGGATTACCTGTGAAGGATTTGAGTGTTATTTCATTGGGGGCACTTTGATTTTCAGTGCTGGTATTTGACAATGTAGGTTAATAGACAAAAAAACAATGTGATTGATGGTGGATGGAGGGTGAAGCTGGAGGAGAACAGGGGAGCGTCCATGTCGTCTGTGCTTCCCTGCCTGTTGTAAAATGTCAGCATGCAGATACACACCGTACAGTCTTGTACTTATTGGCTACTGCTGTCTGATGGAGCTGCACTCATCTGCCTTCCCCATGATAATGAAAAACACTTCCTGGCTGCTGTTTTCTTTTTCAAAGGGTTCACAAGTCAAACCTGAAATCATTGTTACGGTTGGATAGTGCCAACATTTACGGTACCTGAGTTTGCTACTGATACCAACATGATACCTCATCAAGTCCTTACCTTGAGTAAACAGCTACAAAAACTTTTTTTCATTTAAAAAATTAAAGAAATCAAAAGCTGTTTGATTTACATGCTGTATCTTAATAAGGTAGTCGCCAGTTCAAGAGTCAAGAGTCAGTTTTGTTGACAAAAGGCAGGTGCTGCAATCTAGAAGCTAAGTCTAAGCCAATTAGTGTGAGCATTATAGACAACTATCCAGTTGTGCTGACAGATGATCTTCACTTAACCAAGTGCTTGTCAAAGACAAAAAAACAAATGCCATTATCTTAAGGAATTGCCTGGTATATTGGGAAATCATCTGGTCAAGGATGTGTTTAGCCTAGCTAAAGCACATAGATTGGAAATGTGGGGAACTGTATGAAAAAGAGAGAACAACTAACTAATTCACAAATTTGAATCAATTCACTTTTGGATTTTGGATCACTTTGGATCAATTTAGCAGGTACATGGCACAGAGTTATCCGGAAAAGGAACAAAATGTCTTTTGTCTAGCATAACAAAAAGACTGGAAGCACTACTGGCATCAAGCCCATCGGACAACAGAATAGACTGGTGACTAGCCTGTTAGCTAACAAGAAACAGCATGTAAATCTGGAGGGTTTGTTGTTTTTCTCTTTTGGTGGATGAGTCAGCAGTTTCCCCCTGCTTCCAGTCTTTTAGCTAAGCTAGTTTAAATTTGCAATGGACCTGTCGCTCCACCAAATGAAATTATATATTTTTTTCCAGTTTTACTCTGTAACTGTAATTGGCCTCCTGTGGTTTCACAGAGAATGGGTCAATATAGTCCAGGTTTTTACGTCAGAAACACGCACACATATCTGGTTTTTGTGATGAGTATCTTCAGTATACTTCTAGTCCATTACATTTTGCTAATTTCATCAATCGCTCTTCATTCCATGGTGACTTTAAAATCACTGTAGAAACTGAGGGAGCTTCAATTCCTAGATCAACAACGCTACAAAAAACCAATAGAGCTGAAGTCAAAGGTTGGAGCTGCAACATTCAGACAATAGATAGCAAATATTCCATTGACTCTGAGACGAGCAGAGGAGAGAGAGGAGTGGCATGCAGGGGGGAGGAAGAAATGAGAGAGAGGGGAGACTGGGTTATTTTTGGTTTTTCTCTTGCCTTTACATGATCCACATTCATGTTCTGTAGACATTCACAGCAATGAAAATGTTAAAGATAATGATAAAAATG